GTGTCAGCTTATCGTTGAATTTTGGGACACGTTGTATATATATATATATATATATATATATATATATATATATATATATATATATATATATAGAGATTCGGAGACCCTTTTTTACTGGAAATGAAGCATTCCATCTTAGTCGTCAGGGGTGACAACGCATCTGCGCTTTGATTCTCAATCGAGGGTAAAAGTAAATGTATATGAACCACAGCATCCACTTACCATTGGATGGACGATATGTGCTAGTTTGTCACCCTTAAAATATTTTTTAAAAAAATCCCCATTTTACTGGTAACGAGGCATTCCACGGCCGAGGAGTGGCGTTGTAAGTATATCCACTATCCCATATTGTCCTGAGGGAGTCATAAGAGCTAACGAAGGGAAAACCAGGAGATAGCCAGCAGCGTCTTCCTAATAACAAGTAGAAAGTAAAAAGCCGCGGTAACCGACCCGCCTGCCCGGCGTGGCAACTGTGGCAAACATCCCCCCTATGGGCCAATCTATGGGAGTCTTATGTTCAGCAGCAGAATTTGATGGGCTGCTATAGGATAGGATTGGCATTCCATTTTTGTCCCCAGGAGTTGATTCGATATTAACATCACTAATATTCCCTTTAACCACTCCCAGTAAGGTTAAAATGCTTTAGAGTTCACGGTCCGCACTGTACCATTAGGCTTACGTCGCTTACTACACTGTTTTCTATCTCATTCTCTCGCAGGCTTAATCCTATAGATGTGTATGTTTGTCTCTTTTCAGTGCCGCTTTTTCGTTTCTTCGAGTTTCAAATCGCTATGGTTCTAAATTCAAAATTTTCGGGATAAAATTATTAAAATACCATCAGGCTAACGTAGCTATAAAATGTCTATAAGCCACAACATCCACTTACTATCAAGTGAACTGTGTGCCCGTTTGACGACTCTTACTTTTTTATAGATTAAGGCTGACAAACGAGTACAATCCACTGGATAGTAAGTGGATGCTGTGCTCAGAGACATCTTTATTTATCCTCAATTAAGAATTAAAATGTAGACACATTTTCACCCCTGAGGACTAAGCTGGAATGTCTCATTTCCAGTGAAACGGGTCTCCGGTTCTCTACACTCACCATACGTAACATAGCAGCATAAAGCTGCTATTTTATGTTGGTATTGAAAGCGTAGTAATTCCCTCGTCGAGTGGACGCATAATATAACTGAGATGGCTCTTCCATGTAAAAACTTCTTTGGTCGTGAAAGACCGAGCCGACCACGTTGGGGTCACAAGTTTGGCCTTGGAAGGAAAAGGGGAGATCTCCCACTGGGCAAGGTTTTCAGTCCGGGGCGCGGCCAACGCTTCGTGTAGTAGTTCTGAGCTATTCTTTAAAATACTGAATTACTTCGGAACTTTGATGGCGCGATTCAGGCTTCGGTGTGTTTCGCTTGTACGACAACGTCGCCACACTTCTGTAAAAATTAATATACGTTAATGTTATCTCATGCAACGTCTACATTCTCGCCGAGCTTAGACACATAGGCACGAGTACGAATATGTAAACGACTTGTTTGGGTGTGCTCGCTACAAAGCCCGAGTACCCGCCTATTCTCCACACGATGTCGGTTTTTTTTTAGCACGACTTCGTGTTTATTGTATCGTATCGGTGTCTACATAGTTGTCGTTATTCAGTTGACCCGAGAACTATCATTTTAATTTACTGCGCCAACCTACCGTTATAACTTTCTCTAAAGCTTTTCTATGTAAAAACGAAACATACGTCATCCATGTTTAAAAATCTATGTTGAATGAATACAGACGTATATGTAAACGCGTCACACTCGTTAACGAAAAACTCTATGAGATTTTCGTTCGATGATTTAAACGTGTCTTCACGGTTTCCACCACAAACTTTGTGATTGTTTACTTCTGGCCCAACAGGCGTCCCTCCCCAATGCGCCGCCGTTCAGTTTTGAGCGTCCGGCGGCCGATCAGAGCAGCACCGCGCCGCGCCTGGGCAAGTACTACAGGTGCGTCGTACTCACAGCCAGCGGCTTGATCATAGTGCTCACCATCATCGTCATCATTGTGATCACGATTAAATACGCGAAATGATACAATCACAAGTGTTTCATTACTCCCTTCCCTTTCCTTTCAATCTTGGAGTCCGATTAGTAGATACCGCCATCTTATTTTTAACGCGGTAGATCGACAATGCAGCTATGATTGTAGCACGAATGAGACCGACCGACCGGGGAAGGACCACGCTCTTACAGAACACCAGTGTGAAATAGCAACTTTAACGCTGCTGTGTTTCGTATGGTGAGAGAAGAGAACCGGAACCTCTTAATATTGGAAACGAGTCAACCATCTTAGTCCTCAGTGGTGACAAACCATCTGCATTTTGATACTTAATTGAAGTTCAATATAGATGTCTATGGGCCACAGCATCCACTTACTATCAGGTGGACTGTGTGCTCGTTTGTCACCCTTATTATAAAAAAACCACATAAATTGCACAAGAACTCGCATCCAGACACGGAACAATTATTTCTGACCATACAAATACTGTTCCATACAGAATTGCTAAGCCGTCAAAGGAGTTAAAGGGAAATATAAATAAAACCACACATTATTTTGAAGTCGATAGATTTAATTACAGTCATTAAGTTACAAACATGCGGACAGGGAGCACACAGTATGCACCGAGACAAACGGACAGGCCCACATACAAGTTAACACATTGGACGAGCGAATCTACAACTGTCACATTGTAAAATTCGAGACAGACCTTGATGGATCAGTGGTTGCTATTCCTGCTTGGTGACAAGTTCTAATCCAGACAAGTTTTGTGGTAGCCACGCTGCAGCTGTATTATGGTTGTAGTATGAATGGGTCGGCTCGACCGGGGAAGGAGCACAATCTCAGAATATCAGCGTGAAATAGCAGCTTAATACTGCTGTTTTATATGTTGAGTGTAGAGAACCGGAGATCCACACAAGTATATTGTTAGACTGTGGTCTTGAAACCAACCCGTGCATGGCGTAACCGTAATATAACTGCAGCAGAGCTCTACTTCGTTACCGATTATAATTAACTTTTTAATTGAATAAATAAAACTCCATACAAGAAAACTACAGCACTCTGTAAACACATTTACAACCGATAGTCTCTTCCTAAAGCAGGGTGTGAATTACAGTCAAGTACTGTGAATTGCCTCCAGAACTTATTAGTGGTTTCATTTTGATTGAGACATCTTTGTTAAACTGGTTGCTTAAAATCCATTAAAAACTAAATTAAAATTATTTGTATTACTAAAAGTGTACAACATGAGTTCATTCACTAGTCCTAACCTACCTGTACCTAATGTTACTCTAACATACAGTGTAAACTCTCTACAGTGAAACTCAAGGAATCAAATGCTTTCTTTTCATTTATTCATTTAAAATTCCTTATTGAAATCTCTATATATAAAAATCAACTCGAAAATAGCTCGACCGAGTTTGTTCAATTTTTGTGTGTATTTGAGTAAGATCCCTGGATGGTTTAAAAACTTAGTTGGACCCAGTAGATGGCACTATTGTCAAGATCCACAATAAAAAGCGGATCGCTAGTTATACAGGTGATTTTTTTTCCGTCTGGAAAAAAATACGGTGTAACAGGTGACCGGATTCATTGCTTGTGTATTTTTTAATATCGATAGTTTTAAATTAATTTATTTTATTTAGTTCAAAATTTTTGTTTTTATTTTTTAGTACCGAAAGTTTATTTCAAATTAGTAGTATTTATTGATAGATCAATTTAATAATATGTTAATGTAAAAGCAAAAACATTTTAAAATATCAGTTCCATAGGCTTCTATTCCGTTCACCTGTTACATCCTATTTTTTTCCAGATGGTAAAAAACATCACTTATATACAAAAGAAGTATGCAATGGGCGGTCTTGTTGCTGACAGCAATTTATTACAACAGACTTTTCTTTTGTTATATCGAGATTTAAATAAAGAGAGGAAAGGGCACAAATATACTTTTATGTTTTTACTAGAGGATACCCGGCGTGTAGCACTTACGCTAAGAAAAGAAATACATTTTGTTTATTTGTTTGAAAAAAAGGAAATTTTGTTTATCAAGTTTCTCATATAGTGCCTAATGCATTGTTTTAGAGCTCTGAAACCATCGGCATTATTTATTTTCTAAAGAAACCAGTTTTGGGCACATCGTTTGGACAGTTTCAGTCAATAAGGGACATGTAGAAATATTTTTGTGTGTTATATATATAAAACTAGGTATACGTCAATTTCTAAAATATCTATCATTTATTAAACCAAGTAATAATTTGTATTTTTTATACATTTTTGCTTAAGTTACAGCTTATATACGTCCCACTGCTGGGTACATGCCACCTCTCATTTCTGAGAGGGTTTTAGGGCAAGAAATGTCCGCTGTACTGCCCCAATGCGTGTTGGTGGACTTCACGTCTTCAAAATATTTATTTTTAAATTATTTAAAAAATAAACATTTTTCCTTATCTTTCTAAATAAAAACTTTCTTAATCTACAGTCCAACTAAAGGCATAATATTTCATCACCGTAGATGATTTACATTGTAGAGGATTCTTTATTGTATGGGTAATAATGTAAACCATAAGACATGTGTCAATTATGAATGATTTGTTCATTTGACCCAGGTCACACCAGTGTAGCTGATTGCAATTATATTTTTGAACGTTGAAACTCAAAAGGATCCATTTGAACGATCGGGTCACTAGAAATGAATATCTTTGCTATAGAGAGTTGTCCTGCTTTAAAGGAGTTTACATAAAGAATTTACACTGTAATAAAATCAGAGGTAGGCCAGGACCGTGTTGGAGTCAGGAGTTAAGAAACACAACCAGACCCTAACTGCAACAATACGTTTGCAATGCACGAAGCACCAAACACAACCATCTGTCCATATGTCAGGTTTTGTTACAGATACAGTATAGCTCGCTTGCTGCAGATTGTTTACAGGTGTCTCGTTGTGAGAGAGCTCAGTAGTCGTAGTGAGCTCCGTTGGCATCCTCCGGATTGTATTTATTCTCATCCTCCGGCTCCTGCTTGATCTGCACGTCCAGAGGTGGCAGGTTGAATTCCGGATAATCTGTGGACAATTAGCACAGAATTTATTATATCTTTAATTGAATAAGTAGCACACAATTAATCAAAGAAAGGTTATTTACTATAGTTGAATCAGGCATTACTTTGCGGAAATCCATATTAAAGATTTAGAAAAATTTTTTGCTAAATATCCACATAACTAAATATATTGATGTGTCTTCCTTAGTCTGAATTAGAGCACCTACCACTTTCTCTCAATTTCGTGTACTATCCCCAACACAACTAATCCCAGCACCACTACTCCTAACACAACTAATAGATAATACTACACTTGTTTCGCCTCTACACGTGGCATCGTCAGGTGGATAAGACTCTGCACTGACTGACCGCTAACAGTTATTTACTAGTGAGTAGTCGCTCTACGAATTAACATACACAAGTTATTAAAAAAGTTTTCTAATTAATCGTAAGCAATGTGTTCAAATCACTACTTTAAATGACAGTCATGAACGCAGTGTATACAGATCTCCATCCAGGGTCAATAAACATGGAGTTCCACAAGGGAGCGTATTAGGCCCCTTATTATTCTTATTGTACATTAATGATTTACCAGATTCAATAAATTGTCAAAGTGTTCTATTCACAGACGACATATCTATAATAGTGCCATACAAGGATCAAGATATGTACATCTCACGAAATAAAAATAAGTAAATAGTTACAATTTGTATTAAGATGGCTAAAAGCAAACAAACTAAATGTAAATCTGTCAAAAACAAAATTCATAAAATTTGGTACAAAAGTAAACGCGCTGATAATAACATTAACATAAAAATAGAAAATGACAGTATAGAAAAAGCTGACAGCATAAAAGTCTTGGGTATAACTTTAGATAGATTTTGTAATCGAAAACAACATGTAAATAATGCTTGTCTCAAACTAAGCAGATTTGCCTATGCCCTTAGAAAGCTTTAGACCGTATCAGATGAAAAGACTGCAGGTATAGCATATAAAGGCTATGTAGAATCAATCCTTAGATATGGATTAATAATATGGAGGAATTCGACTGATGTTGATCAAGCATTCAGTGCACAAAAGAAATGTTTAAGAGCTATTTGTGGAGCAAGTCCATTTGACTGCTGTAAACCTCTATTTAAAAAACTTAATTTACTGACATTGACCTGCGTGTATGCTCTTGAGGTATCAGTTGTTGGAAAAAGTATCCGTATAAAAACTTTGTTAATTTAACCCACGATGTGAAAAAACACCAAAAAAAAAATTCCTTATATCGCGTACGCTGCGGAAACCATTGACAATAGAGCAAAGTGATGTGCTACAGTTTTACAAAGATATCAATATCTACAAAAAAGTCTGCGATACCATAATATGTCTAACTATTACTGTAATGTCACATAATATATTTCACGCGGACGAAGTCGCGGGGAACAGCTAGTATTGAATAAAGACAAAATCCTACACTATTAAAACCTAACATAACATTAATAGTCTTTGTCAATAAGAAGGTAACTCAAATTAGTGCACACATCAAATACTTATTACGGTTGAATGAGTAGTATAGGTAAGTACATATTTTCATTAAAGATCATTTAAAGTGCCATAGATTGACTTATAGGTAGGTTTGGTTTGTAATATTACTTCCACCCTATGTCAAATTGTATGTATTATATATTAATATATATATATATATATATATATATGTATATATATATATATATATATATATATATATATATATATATATATATATATATATATATATATATATATATATATATATATATTGTCGGTCACTCTGGTTTTACTGCGGATATCCTCATTTCTGAGTCTATCACGCCTAGAAACTCCGAGCATAGCCCTCTCCATAGCTCGCTGAGCGATCTTGAGCGTCCTCATACGGCCAGCAGTGAAGGACCACGTCTCAGATCCGTAAGTCATCACTGGCAACACGCACTGGTTCTACAATCTAGTTTTTAGAGATTGAGGTATACCTGACGAGAATATATGTCGTAATTTCCCGAACGCTGCCCAGCCGAGTTGAATCCGTCGATTGACCTCTCGGTCGAAGTTGGACTTACCTAGTCGGACTATTTGTCCCAGGTAAACGTACTCGTCAACAACTTCGAGCATAGCGTGACTAGTGACCGACATAGCCCAACGGATTAGTAAGCTGAAGTGGCAATGGGCCGGCCATATAGCTCGAAGAACCGATAACCGATGGGGAAGAAAGGTTCTCGAGTGGCAGCCTCGTACCGGGTAGGCTTAGTGTAGGGCGACCCCCCACTAGATGGAGTGACGACCTGGTAAGATATGCAGGAAGTCGATGGATGCAGGTGGCTCAGGACCATGCTTTGTGGCATTACTTGGGGGAGGCCTATGTTCAGCATTGGACTTGTGAAGGGCTGTAATGATGATAATGATGATGATGATGATTATATATATATATATATATATATATATATATATAATTTTTTTTAAAGAATATTAACAATGCTATAACCATTACTAATATTCCCCTTAACCACTCGTGGTAAGCTCACGACTCTTTTCTTGGTAAGCTCAAACTCACGACTTTTTGAGTTCGCGGTCCGCGCCCTGCCATTAGGCTACTGTCGCTTCGTCTTATTATTGAAACCATATATCTCAATATTTATGTATCGGTTGTTATCTATGTGATTCTGTAACTCTGTAAGCAAGTTAGTGTTCAGTATTATACGGTGAACACACAATTTTTGATGGATTTGGTTTGTCTAAATATTGATAAATATATAAAGATGTTAATAGATATTGGTTAATATCTACAAAATTTTTAGGGAGTATATGTTATATGGTAGTATATAAGTATATGTTTTACACAATTATAATAATTTGCATACTTTTGCGTGTTCATGTTTCTTACGGATTTTGAATCAGTGTGTCATATAATATCTTGTTATTATTATTTTTCAAGTTCATGTTAAATATTTTGCAGTGTCGTACTGTAAAGTGTTAGCATAGTCTGTCGCCCGATATATAGATATTGCACTGATATATAAATAATGTATGTATATACGATTCCTACCGTCCACTCCTACATATTTGTCATATATTGTGTCATTTGGCAGGCGGCTTGAGGATTGTATAGAGCATCAGCAGACGTCAGGAGAATAGAATCATTTTTGTTCAATATAGATTACAAGAATACTTTTGAAAGGCATATAAGATAAGTTTTCCATTGGTTTTGACAAAATCTCTGCCCTGGGAAAAACTAACGAGAAACATTTTAGGATTATCAATTCTGTATTAGCGGTAACTAGCCTTATTAAACAAATTTTGCTGAATAAAATGATGAAACTATTTAATATAGTCTGCGCGGAAGTGCTAGTCATCGCCTTAGGTATGCAAGCGGCGAGACGGGGGAGGACGCGATTGACAAGACGCACACGAGATATTTGAGGACAGATAAATCTCCGGATAACCATGTTAGAAACTGTCTTAATTAACATAATGGGTAAATTATTTATATTTTCCGGGCTAAACAAAAATTAACACGTATTTAAAAGCGTTAATTAGATTTTATTATTTATAATACAAAACAGTTTTCTAAACTCACCACCCAAATTAAACCTAAATTACCTTACTGCGAGAATTCTATGTTCGACCTGTGGGTTCATATCACAAATAAGGAGGTTATTAAAACCTTGCGGTGTCTAGACATGAATAAAGCTAGTGGACCAGTTGGTATACCAGCTATAGTTCTATAGCGAAATCCGTTATAGCACAAAATTAATCCATTTCTTCTTCATTACTATACATGTCTTCAATTTCCATATCCTCCTCAGAATCTGAATCGTTTCCCAGGTTTATGATCAACTCGTCTATTACATTGTCAAACCTCATATCGTGGTCCCAATATTGGTTCTCGATTTTCTGTACGTGGTCGTCACACTTTTGCCATCTTCCCGGAGTGAATTCAGAAAACAATTTTGTGATGATTGGAATTTTGTCGTCCAATGAAGTATTTATATAATTTGTAGCTAAATTGTTCTTTATATCGGCCCACACAAGCTCAATGGGGTTGAGATCAGGATGATATGGCGGAAGGCGAAGAACGATATGACCTGAAGCCTTTAATATTTCGTCAATGACGTAAATTTTTTCGGACTGAGTTCTATTTATCAAATGAAAGAGTTCGGCTTTTGTATTATCTGGTGTAAATTCAACATTCGCGTAACCAATCTTGCATGTCCCTTTTTAAACTTGACATAGTAGGTTTTTTCTTTACCTGTACACAATGGTAGGAGGCATTGTCCATTACGACCACTGAATTAGGAGCTAGTTTATTTTTCAATTTGTGACTAACCCAGTTATGAAAATTTGTGGCATTCATATCGCCATGGTAATCCCCACATTTCGAATCTGATTTGAAAATTGTTAAGGCACCGTTAACTAATCCGTCTCGGCTACCACCATGAACAATCACCAAACGACGCCCTTTGCCAATATCAGCATAAATTCCAGGCTCAGATTCGGATTGCCAACACATATTGGAGGTGTGGCTACTATTAACGTAGGTTTCGTCCAGATAATATATGTTTCGGTTTTCATTTCTATGTTTCCGTATAGCTCTTAAATACCTTACTCTCCATTCAGCAATACTGGGCCTCTCAATTAAAATGTGTCTTTTAGATTTACATTTTTTAAATAAATATCCCATCTTATGTAAAAGCTGTCGTAAATAGGTACAACCGCAGTTCACAATGCCATCTTCTTTTAAAACTGCAAGCAGCTTACGAATACTTGGGATTTTCTTATCACTAGTATAAAATTGATGAATTTTTCTTCGTATAACTCCCATGTCAAAATCATCAATCTGGATTCTCTTTTTTATTTCTTTAGGTTTCCGCGGAGATGAAAATTTTGCAATTTCCGATGTTTGTAGACTCGAATTTCCTTCAGCTACAATTCGCATTACGGTGCGGGCAGACACTCCTGTAGCCTCTGCTACTAATTTATTAATGTTCATATTATCATATTTGTGTTCCATACTTTCCTTGTCGCCCTTTCGTCTTAAAAAAAAACTATGTACATTATAAATAATATTTTTCACTTGTCGTGGTATTGGCGGACCCATCTTAGAATATTTATCTCGTGTATTTTTGGAGAAAACTGTCGCGTACAACTGAATCGTGTAACCGTCGCGGCGGTTGACGGCAGACTGCGTCAGCTTGATGTTTATCTACCTCCCCCGTCCTGCCGCTCACATACCTAAGGCGATGACTAGCACTTCCGCGCAGACTATAGACACATAGGTTGTGCATGTTTGTGTAAGTGGAAGAGACGAGATGGAGTTGCACACTGACCATCCATGGGCTCCTCCTTGATCTTGATCTCCTCCTGCTTGAGCTTGTGGTCGCGGCGGTCTCGGTCGCGGTCGCGGTCTCGGTCGCGACGCGAGCGCTCCTTGTGCTTGTCCTTGTCGCGGTCGCGCCGCTCGCGCCGCCGCTCCGATCGCGAGCGGGAGCGTCGCCGTCTCCTGCGGGACGTTACATACCAAATGCATCAAAATATACGCAACCACTTCCTTCACACGGCTTATATATATATACAATGTGTTAATTTTACACTTGATAAAACGAAATGTGTGGATACTAGATAAGAAATTATCGGTAAAAAATAGATTTTTTTTATGTAAACTATTTAAAAAATAAAAGCATTTTTTTTTTGGTAAAATTCCCATCCTTCGGTTTTAAATTATTTTCTTTTTATGGAAACGGTGTATTTTTTTTTCAAAGTAGTTTTATTTGAAAGTTAGAAAGATAAACTACCAATAAAAATTAAAAAAACCTACGATATCAAGCAGGAAATTTGTCAAAAAATAATAAGATAATTTATTTGTTAAAAAATACTTTTCTTTTTAATTTTTGGTCTGTAACTTCAAAACTAGTATGTCGAGATAACTTTTACCTGCTATTTTACACTGGTATTCTGTGAAAGTGTGATCCTTCCCCAGTCTATTATATACTCATTCATGTTACAATTACGACATATGAGTAGCTGTAATATGACTACCGTGTCAAGAACAGTGTGTAACCAAAATTATGTGATATATACTCAGCAATATGTATCATGTATTGCATGTATAAAGGTAGATGAACAATTATATTATAGATTTTGCAAAGTTATTAATTGCAGTCTGAAATATACAAATGTTGCACATGATTGTTTCCCATACAATACTTCTTTGTTAAATTAATAAAAACATGTATTTCAAAATGCCAAATAGTGGCGGCCATCTCTTGTATTGTTTTTGTCATAAGCATGCTCCCTCTTACACTATCTTAGTCATCAGACATAACAACGCATTTGTGGCCCCTTTGTTTAAAATGATCTCCAGAAGAAGTATCTACGGAATACACAAGTCATGTACTATCAACTGGACAGTAAATTCGTTTGTCACTTCATTATTATAGAAAATATCAATTTGACGGCAACTGCATACTGTGTACTGTGTCCAGTATTGCAGAATGCAATGTGTTACATAATGTAGTGTATATTAACCTCTCAACCTCCAAGCGGTCTCATGAGACCGCGGCCATATTCCGTGAAATCCCTAGCGGTCTCGTGAGGTCGCACCCACCCACAGCACTTTAACCCATAAAAACTTATATATATATAGAGACTACTTTTCTATGAAGAAGTTTGGCATTATATAATCAATATGAAATACTCTATCCTCTAGTGCAATAAAAAAACTGTTATTCCATGAATATTTATTTATAATCTACATTTATTTCATATGCCATTTTCGCGTGAATGTTATTGTGTTGATTTTTGGATTTTTCTTTTGTTTTAGTATAGTGTTTTATTATAAAATTGTAATGAAAGTTTTAGTGTGACTATAATTAATCTTTTTACGTAAATAATTTCGAGTAATATTTACGTAAAAAAATTCGCTTGGTATGTTTTTTTTTGTTATCATAATACAATAAAATTTTTTGTAATAAAGTAAAATCTGACTTTTGTTTAGACCACAAGATAGAGAATTTTGTATAGATTTTATAATGCTAAACTACTTTATAGAAAAGTAGTCTCTAAATATAAGTTTTAATGGTTTTAAGTGCTGTGGGTGGGTGCGGTCACATGCGACCGCTCGGGATTTGCCGGGCGCATGCGACTGCATGGGAATTTTATGGCGCTTGAAGGGTTAAGTAGTATATATTTAGTAGTTTAGTTTTTAGTCTAACATGTTTCTATCGTATTCTTCTTTATATCTAGTAATGCAGTATATATTATATAATGCGTAAATAATATTGCGCAGTGAGTGTACCATTTGTATTATGGAGTGTATATCATGCAGTATATGTGTAGTAGTGCAAGCTATACATTGCAGTGTATAGTGCATATAATGTAGTGTGTATCCATCAATATTGCATACAATGAATGACATATTTATCGCGTATTTAATAGTGCAGCGTGTTTTTTTTATAAAATAAAGGTCACAAACAAGCACACAGTGCATCTGATGGTAAATGGATGCTGTGGGCTTTATATCTACTTATATCTACTTTTATTCTCGATTAAGAATCAAAATGTAGATACATTGTCACCCCTATCGACTAAGATAGAATGCTTCATTTCCAGTAAAAAGGATTCTGGATCTCTACATTCACCATACGAAACACAACAGTATTGAGCTGCTATTTTATGGTATGGTATGGTATTCTGTGAGAGCGTGGTCCTTCCTCGGTCGAGCCAACCCATTCGTGCTACAACCATAATATAGATGCAATGTGGACTTTTTCTATTGCGTAGTGTATATTCATAATATATAGTGTGGTTTGGTATAGATGCATTGCGTAGAGTATTCTGTGGTACAGCGTTTAGTGTGTTGTGTACAGTATGTATCCATATAGTGAATTTTGTTATAGGACAGGGTGACACACGAGCACACAGTCCACCTGATGGCAAGTGGTTGCTGCAGCCCATACACATCTACATCTATCCTCGATTAAGAATCAAAATGCAGGTGAGTTCTCATCCGTGAAGTCTTAGGTGGAATGCCTCATTTCCAGTAAAAACGGTCTCCGGTTCTCTACACTCACCATACGAAACAGCAGCATTAAGCCACTATTTGACGCTGGTATTCTATGAGAGCGTGGTCCTTCCCCGGTCGAGCTGACCCATTCGTGCTACAACTTACTACTAATATAACTGCAGCATGGCTCTACCACGTAAAAGAATTATATAGTTTTCAGTAATGCTGTGTGTAGTGTCCGTGGTAGTGCAGTGTACAGGGTGTCGTGTGTGTTATGTAGTATGTAGGATGAGTTGTGTGATGTTACAGTTTAAGAAGAACATACAATTAGTCATCATGTTTGATGTTGTGGGAAAAGTTGACATAAACAATAAATTGTATACATTAACCTCTCAAACACCAAGCGGCCAAATTTGACCGTTTCGATATTTCGTCAAAATTCAAGCAAATATGACCGCACCCACCCACAGCACTTTAACCCATAAAAACTTATATTTCGAGACTACTTTTCTATGAAATTTTCTATCCTCTAGTGGAATAAAAATACAGTTAGTATATGGATATTAATTTATATTCTACGTTCATTACGTACGCCATTTTCATTTGGATGTTGTTGTGTTGATTTTTGGATTTTTCTAGTGTTTTACTATAGTGTTTTATTATAAAATTGTTATAAGTTTTTGCGTGAATATAATTTATCTTTTTACGTAAATAATTTCGAGTAAGTGACTTTTATATAGAGAATTTTGTATAAATTTTATAATGCCAAACTTCTTCATACAAAAGTAGTCTCTACATATAAGTTTTAATGGTTTTAAGTGCTGCGCATGAGACTGCATTGGAATTTTATAGGGATTGAAGGGTTAATTAAGGTTTTCAGAACGGGAAATAGTAAAAAAATAAAAAGCTTATGTTATTGTTTAAATAAATTGTGTATATGAGAAAAGTGATTAAACTTTAATTACTAATCTTTAAATCTGGACTAGGCACAGTTTTTTACTGCACGTGTAGTGAGAACAATTTTAATTTATTTGCGTGACAGACAGCTTCCAAGCGACCATCGCCTGTCTGCATCGAAAGATTGCCTCGTCTAGACGTCTTCGTCGACTGATTGTCAATAGTGTTTAGACTGTAGTAGTGAGATGTGCAGTGTGTCCCCCGTAGTAGTGTGTAGTGTTATTATATATTCAGTAATATAGTGTGCGGCGTGTAGTGGGTGAACGTGTACATGTATACTTTAGAGGGAATGGTTGTTTCATTATTTTTAAATGGAAAGTTAGCATCTATAATGATACGAGTGCAATACAGAATTAATATTTATCGGGGCTTCGCTGAAAATTAATGCTGTTATGTTTCGAATGGTGAGTATAGAGAACCAGAGACTCCTTTTAGTGAAAACGAGGCATTCTATCTTAGTCCTCACGGGAGACAACGCATCTGCATTTCGATTCGTAATCGAGGATAGATGTAGATGTCTATGGGCAACAGCAATCACTTACCATCAGGTGGACTGTGTGCTCGTTTGTAACCCTATCCTATAAAAAAAAATCAGCGCTTCTGCAGTACCTGCGGTTGCATATGCTGAGAGGGAATCCTTTTTGGCATCACATCACTCACTCTTGCCGAGATTTATTTTTAATTATCTTTACCATCTTGTATCTTGTGTTTTTATGTTCGTATTTAGTTCTAAATGTATATTTTGTGACTGTATTGATGCTATGATTGCCGAGCCGTGGTAGCTCAGATGGTTAACGCTCGCTGAAGATATAACAGAACGCGAGTAACGCGGGTTCGATTTCCGCCGGGTACCAATAAAATTGTTAATTGTAATTTTAAGTTATGATTTACCACATGCTCGGCGGTGAAGGAAAACATCGTGAGGAAACCTGCATGTCTGAGGAATGAGAAAAAAAAATATTTCGAAGACATGTGAAGTTCGCCAACACGCATTGGGGCAGCGCGGCGGACATTTCCTTGCCCTAAAACCCTCCAGATGGGGGAGGCCGTGCAGTGGGCCGTATATAGGCTGTAACTTTACTTTTACTTTTTTCTCTCTAGTCGGTTCCTCATAACTGAGGATCGTAATCACCATCACATAAAGTAAGCTTATTGTGTTTGATCTGTCTCTACTGAGTCCTATCGCTGGCCATACGGAGAGCGTCGTAGAAATTTAGCGCACCGACTTATTTGACTTGGTCAGACCACCGGGTTGGAGATCTATCTCTGGGCCTTCTTCCTTCTACGTTTCCAACAACTATGAATTTCTCAATACTTTCGTCCCCGCGGCGAGAGGTACGACCAAAATAGCTGAGGATGCGCTGAAAACATGTGGACTTTTACTTTAGTGATGCTAACAAAACTTATGTCTATGAGTTTAACATGACACCACTTCACCTCCGTCGCGACGATTGGACCTAGTTAACCTACACACAAAATAATACACTCGGAACTGTTAAATTTTAACATAAAACACAACCCACGTAGACCTATGAAAAAAAATATTTGACATACCCCCATCGCGAAATAATACCTCCCGGAATCAACCCCTATCAAGGTTCTGTCGACTTTATGAGGATTATAGCCTTTGCTTTACCAACCTAAACATCTTCAACTCTAGCCTGGTTCGCTTTAGAAATGTTTTGAAAGACATTCTCAAAGACATCCCCTTCGATTGATATTCATTATAGTTATAGTTGTTGAGTTGTTGGATTTGTGAACCTGTTAGTTTAAGCAATTTTATTTAAAATGTTTGTTTCTCAATTTTGGCATGCCGTGATAACACGTATAAGGATTATGTCTTGTGTCACACCATTATATTTGTAAGTTATAGCTTTAAGTTGGGTCTCTCTCCCTGGGGGTTCCTGCCGCCCGCTGCGCTTCCGGCGCTTCTTTTTTTTTCATTTTTTTGTTTGTTTGTCATTTCATTCTTCTTCGGTGTTAATTCTTTTATCCTTCTTGTATTTGTAGTTAGTAATATACTAGTAAGAATACTTAGTGTGGGTTTTGTGGTTAGGTGGTTACGAGTAATATCGAACCACTTTACGGAGTTCATATATCGACCACACCCCACAACTGGTGACCCCGACGTGATTTGAACACGCAACCTTTTGATACATCACACATCCCACAAAGTCATGATGTAATCTGTTGTGTTGTCCTATAAAAAAAAAAATGTGTGTGTGTGTGTGTGTGTGTGTGTGTGTGTGTGTGTGTGTGTGTGTGCGTGTGTGTGGCGTGCGTGCGTGCGTGCGTGCGTAGGGGCTGCGTGTGTGTGTGGTATGTGTGGCAGTGTGTACAGCAGCACTCACTTGTCGGGCTCCTCTTCGCGCGGACGCTCGCGACGCCGCGCTCTTGAAGCGGAGCGGCGCCGCGATCTCGAGCGACTGCGCCTGCGGACCGCGCCTGCAACACCACGCAACTTCACTCACTGCACCACTATACACAAAACCCCACCATGGTCGCATAATAGAATCTTTTATCATCATTATAACTCTTCACAAGTCCACTGCAATATAAGGGTCGTTGATGCTACACCAACTATTAAGAGATACTTTACTTGTTCAGGCCCATTTACAAGTATTGAATGCCATAATAAAAGTCAAGTAGAGTTTGCAAAGTTATTAATTGCAGTGTGAAATATACAAATGGTGCACACGATTGTTTCCCGTACAATAACTTCTTTGTTAAATTAATAAAAGTATGTATTTCAAAATTCCAAACACTAGCGGCTATCTCTGGTATTGTTTCTGTGATAAGCAAGTTCCCTCTTACACCATTTTAATCATCATAAATAATAACGCATTTATGGTCCCTTTGTAAAAAATTGGCTCCAGGAGAAGTATCTATGGAATGCACAAGTCATAGAATACTATAATACATCATAATAGAATGGGGGAGTGGGCGGAGCCCGTGTAGCCACCAACATGTCACTAACATGTCAATTCAAACATATAAATGTCAACACGACATGTGTTTTGACCTTACCATAGTTTCTAAATTTCGCATGCAAAAAAATTTAGAAAATGTCAAATTGCACACTATTCACAAATAAATATATATTAAAATTTAAACGATTTTTTTAATGATGGTCTTGAACATTAATCAAAAGTCTAAAATGTGTAAATTTACTCAGTCTGTCAACACAGCGAATCGGGTTTGTAGTAGTGATAATACGACGTAATTGCTTGTATGTGTGCTCCCGGCGACGCCGATCCTCGTACAAAATAAGGTTGACAGCCATTCTATAGTGTATTATAGTATTCTATGATTTTAATAGAGTATGTTCATTAAGTAAGATTCTTTGTATAAACAGTTATTACACTGTTAATATTTTCAACCTTTAATAATTAAAGGCGTCTCTCAGAGTTTTATACTCATATATTAGTTTACAACCCTAATACACTGACAAAGTTACCATGTAATATAGGTATCAATGAGAGACATATTACCGTTATAGCCTATTAAAATCCATCACCGAACAGTAATAAAGAATATAACAGAAATTAAAATAGTGAATAAATATAAAATTAAAATAGAACATATATATATAACATATTAGTAAGCTGAAGTGGCAATGGACCAGCCATATATCTCGAAGTACCGACAACGAATGAAGAAAAAAAGTTCTCGAGTGGCAGCCTTGTACCTATAGGCGTATTGTGGGGCAACCTCCCACTAAATGGAGTGACGACCTGGTAAGACATGCAGGAAGTCGATGGATGCAGTTGGCTCAGGACCGTGCTTTGCGGCGTTTGTTTTTATGGTGTGTGTTTTTGTGATTCAGCAGTGGACTTGTGAAGAGCTGTAATGATGATGATGATGATGAAAAATGAACATAGACCTCCCCCAAAGATTGCTTCTTAGAGGGAAAATTTGCCACAGTCGCCACGCTTGGCACGCGAATTGGCAAGCGCAGTTTTTATTTTATTTGCAATCGTTATTACGAAAACACTGCCGCCCATATACCGCATACCTCTGTCACTTCTACGACACCCACTAAATGGCTCGGGCCAATGGATATTCTCACACCACCACTACGCAATATTCCTCATACACCACAATACTCAATTTTTTTTATAGGATAAGGGTGACAAACGAGCACACAGTCCACCTGATGGTAAGTGATTGCTGTGGACCATAAACATCTACATATATCCTTAAATATGAATTAAAATGTAGATGCGTTGCCACCCGTCAGGACTAAGATGGAATGCCTCATTTCCAGTAAAAAAAAAGGGTCTCCGGTTCTCTACACTCACCATACGAAACACAGCAGCATTAAGCTGTTATTTTACGCTGGTATTCTGTGAGAGCGTGGTTCTTCCCCGGTCGAGCCGACCCATTCGTGCTACAACTATACTACTAATATAACTGCAGCATGGCTCTACCACATATAATTATTATTACGACTATACTAGCTTTCAGGTACCCAAACTAGCTCAAATAGTTAGCACTCGCTGCAAATTTCGCAATAAGCGAGAAAACTAGGTTCAATCCCCAAAGGCACCAATGAAATTGTTTATTGCAATTTTAAGTGCCAATTTACCACAAGCTCGGCGGTGAAGGAAAACATCGTGAGGAAGCCTACACGTCTATAAAATAAGAAAAAAAATATTTCGAAGACATTTGAAGTTCGCCAACATGCATTACGGCAACGCGGCGGACAATTCCTTGCCCAAAAACCCTCTTTTAGAAATAAATGGAGACCTGTGCCCATAAGTGGCACGTATATAAGTTATAACTCTAACTTAAACTACATTACATGGATTTCAATTTTTGTTACACGAAACCTTATTTTTCTAAAATAAACCTAGCCTATGTTACTCCTTACAACATCAGCTATCTGCCAGTAAAAATCCAGTCAAAATAGATCGAGTCATTTCAGAAATTAGCCAGAACAAATAGACATAAGTTTAAAGAAAATTTTTTATTATAAGTATATACGTTTACATATATATTTAATAAAAAGACATTATTTCGGCGTTCCAAACAGACATTTCAATTTTATATTTTTATATAACAATCAAACGCTATGGGCCATTGCTTCAAAAAATCTTGTAAGATATATACAAGTAAAACAATACACAGCAGAACTTAATCTGACAAGACGTCAAATATGGAATCCCTGAGTAAACCAAAGGTCAATTGTTACTTAAGATACCTACAGTAACATTTATACGATCAAATGAGTTTTTACCTGCATCAATTTTAAGCAACATGGAAGTATCACCATCAAACAACACAGTGTCACATAAGTTTTGAAGTAAAAGGGAAGATCATTAATACATATTAAAAAGAGTAACTGATCCCAACATTGATAATCCTTGGAGCACGCCCTCAATTAGAGATGTATTCCGAAATGTTCCCAGTATACTGGCGAATGCATATTGTGTGGGATATCCCGCCATATTAAAACAATTTTTCTTGTGCGTAATCTAAATGAAGCATGCCATAATTTGTTTTTATTTATTCAAATACAAAATAGAATTATTGCTGGTATCTCCATTCTTCACAAATTAATTAAAACAGGATATAATAACTTTTGGAGTACAAAATTACATAAAATAATCGCCAACACTTTTCCAATATGGCGCAAATGTATGATGTCATATACCGGCCAACGTTTTAAAACGAATCACCAGTATGGCGTCGATTTATGACGTCATTGCATTGGCCAGTATACTGGGTTCTATTTCGGAACTCACCCTTGATGTACTACAGAAGTTTCACTTCCAACTACTTTTTGCAACCAGTCAAGAATTATTTTAAAAGTTGAAAAATCTCAGTCTAAAAAAACGCGATAAAATCTGTAAATTTAGTTTTATTCAATGTGTAGTGTTCGGTAAACGTAAGAATTCATAATATATAAACGGCTTTCCCAAAAAATTGCAGTGTTGTTAGTATGGATATAGGTATGGATATATCTTTTTTCTGAATCAATTATTATCAACTAAAATACGCAAAACTTTTGATTTTATACAGTGTGTTAGGCGAGATATATAGATAAATTCGAATAGGCAGATTTTGTATATGAGCTTGTATGATTATACGTATGTGAGTGTGTGTATGTGCTTGCGGTGAATAGCAAATGAACTCACGGTCGCGTTCGCGATGCGTGCGGTCGTCTCTGTCGCGCTGCTCCAGACGATATCGCTCCCTCTCCCTCTCGTTATCCTCCCGGCCGGAGTGCTTGATGTTCACGTCCGCTCCGCCGCGACGCGTTCCGCCCAAACCACCTCCTGTAATGCAACAAGAATTCCGTTAATGACTGCCTTCAAGAAATATTCAAATACAATGTAGGTGTATGGGGGTTTAAGTTAGAATTAATAAAATAAAGCTTTATAGATGTTAGAACTCCTTTTTCTTATGTATGAATGACCTGAAGATCTATTGTGATCGCTGCGATGGCTATAGTTCACTGCTAAGCCTATGACTTCAATGAATAGAAAGAGTTGCTTAGCTATGTGCAACTTCGCTTCTTCTGGGCGGTACATAGTTTCCCAGATAAGTGTTACGTTTGCGCATTAAGGGTTCCCACCTAAGGATGTGCAGAGGTGTTTCTTCCATAACCTTTCAAACGTCAATCGTCAAAATTTGACTGCTTCGATATTCCGTCCAAATTCAAGAGGTCAAATTAGACCGCACCCACCCACAGCACTTTAACCCATATGAACTTACATTTAAATACTACTTTTCTATGAAGAAGTTTGGCTTTATAGAATCAATATGAAATTTTCTATCCTCTAGTGGAATAAAAAAAACAGTTATTTTATGGATATTAATTTATATTTCATTACGTACGTCATTTTCATTTGGATGTTGTGTTGATTTTTGGATTTTTCTAGTGTTTTATTAGTGTTTTATTTATAAAATTGTTATAAAAGTTTTTGTGTAAATATAATTTATCTTTTTACGTAAATAATTTTGAGTAATATATAGAAATAATTGTGATTTTCACGCTGCCGACATTCGCCTTGTATGTTTTTTTTTTGTTATCAAAATACAATAAAATCTTTTTGTAATGAAGTAAAACCTGACTTTTGTTTAAACCACAGGATAGAGAATTTTGTATAGATTTTATAATGCTAAACTACTTCATAGAAAAGTAGGCTCTAAATATAAGTTTTAATGGTTTTAAGTGCTGTTGTGTGGGTGCGGTTGAATGCGACCGCTCGGGATTTGCCAGGCGCATGGGACTGCATGGGAGTTTTATGGGGATTGAAGGGTTAAGAAACAACACCGGCACATCCTTGAGTTGCTTAATCCCAGGAAGGACATATACTTTTTTAGACAACAGTGTCCAATCAGGGCTCTTGCCAGAATACGCAGTTTATTCTTACATAATCGCAGGGCTTCTGAAGCGAATTAGCGATCTTCAGCCCGGATTAAGGTTTTAAAGTGTTTTAAGCCTGGTGTATCCAGACCAGATCTTAAGATTTACTTTAGAGTTTCAAGGTTAAATCGGGCCAGACTATTTTCACTCACTGCAAATTCCACAAAATGGCTCGGGTTCAATTTGTGTACTGTTTGAGCCCTCCCGTGTGAACTCGTCGACAAGTTCATTGTCTACAATATCCGCACGGAGAGTCAGTGCAATAACAAGTTGTGACATTTAAAAGAAGACAAGTGAAGGAAAGTTTATCCTGTGGTAGCTATTTAAAAAAACCCACACCCCATTTCGTCCCGTAAGTGTCGTAATAGGCGACTATGGATATCACCGTAAAAATTTCAGACTGCAATAGATGAAAATGTAAGTTTTCTATGCAAATATAAAATACCCAGAACAATGACATCATGATTCATGATTTTTTTTATAGAATTGGATGACAAACAAGCACACAGTATACCTGATGGTAATTGGATGCTGTGGCCCATAGACATCTACATCTATACTCGTTTACGAATCAAAATGCAGATGCGTTGTCGCCCCTGAGGACTAAGATGAAATGCCTCATTTCCAGTAAAAAGGGTCTCCGGTTCTCTACACTAACCATACGCAACACAGCAGCATTACACTGCTATTTTACGCGGGTATTCTGTGAGAGCGTGGTCCTGCCCCGGTCGAGCCGACCCATTCGTGCTACAACCATAATATATTTTTTTATATAGAAGAGGGGAAAAACGAGTATACGGTTCACCTGATGTTAAATAACTACCGCCGCCCATGAACAACCGCAAAACCAGGGGAATTGCAAGTGCGTTGCGTTAGCTCTGAGGTCGCCACGCCGTATCGGTCCGGAAAAATTGCCGGTGGTAATAAACTATTCCACAGAGAGGTTGTACGCGGAAGAAAACTTCCTTTTGAAACGTACAGTGGTGGACCGCCAAGCATCCAGATGGTGTGGATGGTATCGGGACGTTTGCCGCATAGTGTGTTCACGAAATTTGGCGCCTGGTACTAATCCGAACAATTCCTCAGAGCACTCCCCATGGTATATGCGAAAGAAAATGCAAAGAGATGCAACATCTCTTCACAGCGCCAGTGAATCTAGCCGATCGGAAAGCAGTCGGTCGTCGACGATTCGAGCCGCTCTGCGCTGGATGCGGTGAAGTGGAAGGAGCTGGCACTGGGGAGCCCCAGCTCAGAGATGGGAACAGTATTCCATGTGCGGCCGAATCTGCGCCTTGTAAAGTTGCAAGGCGGTGTGCCGGCATGAAATACTGTCCCGCTCTATTGAGCACGCCAAGCTTTTTAGAGGCCGGCCTTCTCTTCCAAGTGACCATGAAACTGCACGTCACTTGATATGTCGACGCCGAGGATTCAGATACTGGCTGAGGCAACAAGGGGAGTGCCTTGAAACTGAGGAGATACGACAAAGGGGTTCTTTTAAGCGGTTAACTCCAAACTTTCTGAGGGTTAAACTGGACTAGATTTAGTCGCCCACAATCCGAGACTTTTTCAGCAAAGACTCGACTTCAGACACAAGTTTGTCCTGGTACTCGGAGACGTTTCCCCGAGAAATAATGGCACAGCCGGTGTACATAGCATCACCAGTACTGTCATCGCAATTAATGTTGCCGGTTTGCAACATATCATTGATATGCAGAAGAAACAGCGCTTGTGATAGCACGCAGCCCTGTGGAACACCAGCCGTAATAGGCTTGTAATCGGATCTTGCACCGACTACAACGACCTTGATGCTCCGATCTGCAAGAAAGTTGGTGATTCAATTGCACAATTTCTCGAGAAGCCCATAGGAAGGGAGCTTCGAAAGAAGCGCTTTGTGCCAAACCCGATCGAAGGCCTTCGCAATGTCCAAACTAACGGCCTCCCCCTTGGACTCTACTGCAGCCGCCCATCTATGAGTTAGGTAGACCAGAAGATCACCAGCTGATCGACCACGACGAAAAACCGTATTGGCGATCACTAATCAGCTGGTGATCCTCAAGATACCTCATGAGCTAGCAGTTTACAATGAACACCATGGTTTTGGAAAACAAGGTGATGGCGATGGGCCTGTAGCTGGAGGGGTCTGAGTGGTCACCTTTTCTAGGGATCGGGTGGACGAAATCCGTCTTCCATGATTTTAGGACTACGCCTAGGAAGTAGGAGTACCGGAAAAGACGCGTTAAGACCGGTACCAACTTTGGAGCACACATCCTCAGCACAATTGGGGGATACCGACAGGCCCACTCGACTTGTGGATGTCCAGGGAGAGGAGTGCTTAGCCAACCAAACGCTGTGTGACGCACCTCCGGCATGGAGCACTCACACCGTGCGATGGTCGGCGGCGTACTCCCCTCGTCATCGAGAGTCGATCGATCGAGTCGAGAATCGAGACACAAAGAAAGAGCCTAGCAGATCGGCTTTCTCCTTTGCGGCATGGGCCAGTGAGTCGTTCTCCCTGTGCAGAGATGGTTGACAGAAATTCCCCTGGACAGCCTTGGCGAGAGACCAGAATGCATGGGGGGTTCCTGAAGGAAGGCGAACTGGTTTCTCGCCAATTCTGCCTGTGCTTATCTTGCCTTGGAAATGACTCTTTTGAAGAAACTGGAGGCGGAATTACACTTCTTTTTTAGAGCGCTGGTGTTTACACGCCGGGACGTTGATGCGTCAGCCCAGGCTCGGTAGCACTCCTGCTTATAGCATGATGCTATTTTACAAGTGCGACCGAACTATGGCTGAGATTTGCCTCCGATGAGCACCACAGAGGAAGGAATAAGAGTTCCATAATCTGAAGTACCACATCAGCGATAGAATCAGCAACAACGTTGGGAGCGTTGGGAGAAGCAAACCCGCCCTCAAGGTTAGGATGCAAAAAAAGACTGCATCCTATCCCAATCGGCTGACCTATAGTGTCAAACACGGCCTGCCGGCACACTCCTGACAAGACAATGGTCCGAGGAGCCTAAAGGGGCGTCGACGGAAAATTGATATCCGTCCGGATGACAGGTCAGCAGAAGGTCCAACAGGGAAGGTGCATGATCCTCCACATCTGGAATCCGCGTAGGTGAAGTAACCAGTTGTGTCAGATCATATGCCAAGGCAAAATCATGAACAGATCTCCCCGCATGATTGGTTAAACGTGAACCAAGCCATTCGGCGAGGTGGGCATTAAGATCGCCGAGGATCACGATCTCTGCGGAGGGGATCTGCTGTAGCAACGAATCTGTAGCCATTTGGACGTGGTCGTAGAGTCAGTCAGTTTCGGCATCATCGCTATGGGACCTATAGAGGCACCCGTAGACGCGCGGATGGTCGTCGCTGTCTACGCGTAGCCAAAGGATGGACAGGTCCGAACTTTCAAGACTGCTGAGGCGTCAAGAACAGATGTCCTCTCTGACGTAAACGCAAACTACAACCCGAGGCAAAAAGGAGTGTTCCAGTTTGTACCCTGGTAAGAGAGATACGAAGCATCAGCCAGAGAGGACACCTGCGTCTCGGTCAGAAAGAGCAGAGCCGGCCTCGCCGTCTCGAGATGATAATGGACGGCGTTTTGGTTAGAATGAAGTCCCCTGATATTGCAGAAATTCACGGATAGCATGGCAGGGGTCGTCTTGGTCTTGTTGCTCAGCTTGCCCCGAGCAGTTATCTTGAGCGGAATTTGTCCCCCCCCCCCCCGAGAATACGCGGGACAGCCTGAGCACCCACGCATAGGAGTGGAGTAAATAAGTTGGTCGTGGATACTCAGCGAGGGATTCTCCAGGGGTGCTGGTACCCTCCCAGGGTAGATCTTCACTTAACTACCACGTTAAGGGGGGGGGAGGAAGAATTGGGCCTCCGGCCACCTACACTCACCAGACGACACGCGGAAGTAGAGCTTTCACTTCACACTGGTATTCTGTGAGGTCGTGGTACGACATATGTGCAACAGCAAAGTTGCAGCGTGGCTCTACCACTTAAAAATTTTGATTGCCAATCTGTCTGCCAAGCGTGGTAATATAAATGGCACAAATCTTTTATTCCTAAGAGGGATTTAGTACAAGAAACAGATAGATAATTATATCTTATATACCGCAGTAGAATCAAAGTAACCAACATAGCCCAATGGATCAGTAAGTTGAAGTGACAGTGGACAAGCCAAGTTTAGTTTAAGAAGGACTGTTTTCCGCAACTCCACGTGGAAGCGCATACTGAAATCTTCCCGAAGAAGTTTAACAGTCCTATGTTGCAAACAACTTTGGGGAGTAATCCCGGCGTAACCGAGACCTCCGGACATGCCAGCAACACGTGGGGTTTCCTCCTTCCTCATACATGACCTGCACAGGGGATTATCTACTATACTAGTAGTATAGTTGTAGCACGAATGGGTTGACTCGACCGGGCAAGGACCACACTCTCCCAGAATACCATAGAACCATACCAGCAAATAGCAGCTCAACAGTAACGGCATTATCAAATTGATCAGGATTTGAGCACTTGCACAATAGTGTATCATAGAATTACACACCACCATTTTGTTTTACAAGATAGAGCCATACTACTGCTATATTAGTAGTATAGTTGTAGCACAAACAGGTTGGCTCGACCGGGGAAGGACCACACTCTAACAGAATACCAGCGTAAAATAGCAGCTTAACGCTGCTATGTTTCGTATGGTGTGTGTAGAGAACTGGAGACCCATTTCACTGGAAATGAGGCATTCCATCTTAGTCCTCATGGATGACAATGTATGTGCATTTTGATTCTTAATCGAGGATAGATGTATATGTCTGTGGGTCCAGCATCCACTTACCATCAGACGGACTGTATGCTTGTTTGTCAGCCATATTTTATTAAAAAAAATCAAACTTACCCAGCCGCCGTGGAAGCCATCCCTTCACGGTTCGAGCTCTTTCAACGTCCACCAAAACCCGTTTGCCGTCGATCTTCTTACCGTCTGCGTGTTTGTAGGCGGCTGAAAACCAAGTTAAGCCATGAAGCCCAATCGCTAATCGTGTGCGGGGGACGGGCCGAAAGTGCTAGCCTCGTTTAACGCGACTTTGTTTAGACTAAATTGTTTTTTGCTGATTGCATATAATTTATAATGAAATGGGCTATTTTTTGGTTAAGGTTTTTCAGAATGGGACTAGGCCAGACTACAAGAAGTTGTTGTAATCCGGCCTAGTCCCATTTTGAAAAACCTTAACCAAAAAAATACTACAATGGTTTCCGTATTTTTAAAATACAAAATAATATAAATTTTATTAAATATAAATTACAAACAAGTATACTTATTGAGAGGGTCATTTATCCCTTACCAAAACATTCTTTGCTGATTCTACGTAATTTACTCTGAAAATCCCTAAGCCTGACTCGCAACTTCATTTTGAGAACCTTACGACGACATCATGCAAAAAAATCTACTAGGGCATCTATAATTTTTTTATTATCACATAATAGAATCGAATCATTTTTACTCAATGAATATATTACGAGAATTTTCAATTCCACTGTATTTTTTATGTGTTTTTATATGTTACCTCATAACTTTTTTCTTGATAAACCCTTGATTGCATGATTGATGATTCTTTTTTTTATTTCAGAGCTGGTGCTTCTCGTGTTGTCCCATATAAATTTGATCAAGATCTGACTATTTAATTGACTTCGACTACATTGATGGTGTTCTCATTTTATTTATATTGAAGTCGGTTGTACAAAATTTTTTACTTCACTACCCCCCAGCATCAATGTCCTTTGCCATTCTTTCCTTATCCAACCTTTCTGTATGTCCAAACCAATGTAACATTCCTATTTTAATTTTGCATACACTGTGCAATACTATTGGAACACTTTTCTCTTATCCCACAATTTCTCACCGTATCATTTATCATTCAGTCACCCCTAACATACTTCTTATCTCTCATGCATCCACTGCCACACGCAACGTTCATCATAAAATCATCATTACAGAGCCCTTCACAAGTCCACTGCTGATCATAGGCCTACCCCAAGGTATGCCACACAAAGCACGGTCCTGAGCCACCTGCATCCATTGACTTCCTGCATGTCTTACCAGGTCGGCATTCCATCTAGTGTTGCCCTACACTACGCCTACCGGTACGAGGCTGCCACGCGAGAACCTTTTTTCCCAATCGGTTACCCGTTCTTTGGAGCTATGTGGCCGGCCCATTGCCACTTCAGTTTACTAATCCATTGGGCTATGTCGGTTACTCTGGTTCTACTGCGGATATCCTCATTCCTAAGTTTATCATGCAGAGAGACTCCGAGCATAGCCCTATTCATAACTCGCTGAGCAACTTTGAGCTTCTTAATCCGGCAATGAAGGACCAACATGCAGTATGTGACTTTTTGACACATTCTGACTTCCCAATTTAATAACAATTGTCAAATATCTTTTATTGAACAACGTAAGATAGTAACACAAAATAATTGAATAGAAAAAAAAACGCTTAAATTTGATTAAATGATTTAACACCCACCAAATAATTGATATCCGTTGAGAGCTTCACTAATATTAAAACCAAACCAATACTTTGTCTTTGCCGTCCACCGCGCACGATAAAAATGAAGTTATTTACATGGACTATATGAATTTGTACTTAGTAATATTTAAATGGAAATACAATAATAACAACATGTAACAAACATCCTGTGGTTACCGTTAAGTGCATTATCAGAAGTATTCAAACATATAGAAATAACTCACTTAAACTCGGCCATGAAAAAAAAATATAATAAACTTTATTCGCAAATTGTATGTAGTTTTATTATAACTGCGTGTCAGTTGAATACTTCTGATAATGCACTTAACGGGATCCATAGTTTTTATAACATGATGTATAAACAAAGTATTTGAAGTAATAGTCCATGTAAATTGTAATATTTAACTGTACATAACACAAATTCATATACAATTCAGATAATAATCGTTGATGCACAATTAAATATTATCTAAAACATACAACAGATGAGGTACACATTTTTTAAATTAAACAATTGTCTATGGTAAAATAACCGACGTTCCTGTCAAAATTGTAGAATATTTCAAATGAAAATTAACAGTCGCAGTTTTCACCAAAAATATCAGAAACAGAAACTTTTTTATTCAATATAGATTATAAATAATACCTAATGAGTCTTTTTTTTAATTTACCACCGTATTGTGATATTCAAAATAATAAGTAGATATACCTACGCTCATATACCTACCGACCAAGCCGAGAGACGCCACTATACAGTTATTGAAAAGAGTATTGTAGAAGTATATCCAATACATACATACCTACCGTTGTTACTTACTTTAGTATACCCAAAAACAAATCCAAGTTCCGGTTATTTACTTACACATTTTAACGGACAGTTACTTACACTCATTTTTTTTTTTAATTTTTCCCGGCGATATAAATGCCACGACGAGACGATAACACCCATTTTACCTGGTGCGCATTACTTACGTCATATCCATTTTTGCGCAATTGAATTTAAAAGAAAAGTAAAAGAAATTTAAAATTAAAAAAAAGAACCAAATATAGTCAACACTTAGCCGTCAATTTAAACTAATAGGGTGCTCGAAACTACGTATAATTTTAAATCGGACTGTATCATTAATTCATTTCAAAGTTGTATGTTGGTATCTTACCACATACAAACCTATTAAAGTGAGTTGCCGGTTATCTCGTGAGTTTGTGTGGTAGGGTCTTTACGGCTGGGTCTGTGGTGTGAAAATAGAAAAACCACTTATTAATCATACATAACACACGCGCGCATCGCGAGGCCTGGCGTTGGTGCCTCGAAAGACGACCTTGTTGGAGGAGAAATTTCGCTTACTTTCCAATAATTCTATTTAAAACAAACTAAAACAAATATATTATAACAAGTTTTTATATCTAATAGAGAATAGAAATTTTTTATATAAAGACGTTTCGAGCACTTTACCCCTGTCATTACATCAGATTTGATAGACCACAAATGCTCGCTAAAGAACACCGATTCCTCTCAAGGATGATTCGCGAGGCTATTGAAATCAAAAAAAAACATCCTAATGTCAACAGAGAAGATGGCTGGGTGCTACGATCTGCTTGGGATCCTACAATTAATAAAATTAAATCCCAAGCCAAGCATACAACTGCAAGACTTCAAGATACTGTAAGTTCATACTGCGTAGATTGGAACAAAAATTAATAATTTTAATCTATGGTAACCACGGTTAACTATGACATCTGGAAGTTGAACATCTCAGTTCCCCCCGTGACCATGGGTGCTGTAAAGTGCTCGAAATGTCGGGTATATGAAAAAGTTAATATAAGCAATAAAATCCGTAAAAAACTAGTTTATTTAAGTATGTAGTGTTCGCGTAAATATAAGAAATCATTAAGTTTTTTATCATATTATTACATTGTTATCTGATACAGAGCTATGTTCAAAATTAAGTCTCTAGCTCATATGAAAGTTACTTTAAAGACTAAATTCCAGCAGAACAGACATACAAAAAAGCGAAAATTAAAATGTGGTAAAAGATAAAGTAAACAAACAGATAATATATAATACACATTCAATAACGACTCAATTTTCATAATGTTTCTCTATGCTTAACTTCAAATGCTAATTATACTGAATATTATCAAAAAAATTATGAAAATTCGGAAAATATAATAATAAAAACTTATCAAATATATATGTACTTTATAATCCCCTCCAAGAAGGTTTTAAGACTTCTAAGTTTTTAAAATTATCTGTCACCATAAAAATTAGCCATTTGTTTTCATTAACTGGGTTATCAACGTCAAATAAATGGGTCACTTATTTACGTTTGGAAACTATTAATTTTGAATGTTAAGAATCGATTATAATTTGTCAAAGATATTCTTTTTTTAAGTTTTTTATCTACATAATAACATATAGAGGCACTTGTAATAATTCTTTGCTTCAAATCAATTGCTAAATATATAACCACAGATGGCGGCAGTAATAACAAATGGCTAATATCACTGGCATTGTCAAAATTATGTTTTTAAGAAAATTCTTGGACACAAATTCAATTCTTTCACTATTTATTTACGTATCATATTGCAATAACACTAATTATTATTAATAAAAATATACAAGTAATAAAGAGTTATACTGCAGAATTGAAATTGTGTATAATAAGAGAAAGGTGGTCACTATTTGGAGTTTTAATTTAGAATATCTTCATTATGTACATTTATGAAAAATTGTTAAAAATTATCTAAGATGTAATTTAATAATATATTTGAAATAGTAACAAACAAAAACATTATTTATCTGTTCTATTACGTATTTATTTATTTATACCTTATGTACGGGCTGCAGCACGTACATTTTTGTGGCGTCGGCAGTTTACGTTATAACGCTACAATAATGCATTTTGAGTCAGTGCGCTAATTGAGCCCAGCAATACTGGTCACGCGTGCTCGCAGTATCATTTCCCATCTATCCTTAAATTAGGTTTAGTTGGTTCTATCAATAAACTATCAATTATCAACTTCCCAGTATTGACTATCATTTACTATCAACTACCTTCAACCGACCACATGGGGGTCCCAACGCAGCCCTTACACCTTATTAAAAAGGATTACAAAGGGCGGACTTAATACCTTTTGGAATTGTCCCAGTCAGCTATGTTCCATTATTTATTCTTCTCCACAAAGTATAAAACAAAGTCGCTTCCCGCCGTCTGTATAAGCCCCGCACTTTTGTATTGCAACTGGCGACCATCTTAGTGACGTATTCGAATTGTCAGTACCGTTCACAAGGTCAGCCAGCGCTTATAAACGCGTATAGAGTACCTCTAACCACGTGTTTTTATAGCTTTTTATTTTCGTTCTCCTGTTTTATTTTTGTTATCGTTATCATACTTATTCTGTTACAAGGAGTAAAAAAGTAATTAGCAGCCGTGCTCGTGAAATGGTTAGCTATTAAAGTGGACAATTATTTAGTAAAGGAGAAAGAAAATATTTATAATTAAATATCTATAAATATATGTATATAATATAATATAAATACCTATAATCCAAGGTTATTAACCCTTAAGTGCATAGTTTATCAAAACTGATAATACGGTTTTCTAGACTCCTAATTCCTGAACGAAAGTCGTTTAACCGGAAATTTTGATTTCTGAACGTGTCGTTATATGTCATAGACTCGTCTGTGATTGGTTCATTCAAATACTTACATGTGATTGGTCCAAAGTTTAAAGTTTCGATGACAGCGCAGACAGTTTGTAGAGTAAAACGAATTCGTAATTTTCATCCGAAGAAATCTTACAAATAAAAGTGTGTTCAACTAATAAAAAAATTATTTTTTGGAAGGTTAGTATCTATATTTTGTGTCCATGTTTTAATTTTTCAATAAAATTGTACATTTGGTAAAATTTTTGGGCTTGAAGTTTGTTATCAAAAATGATAATGTATGCAGTAGCGGTAAAACTTTTTCGATATATGGGTTTATTATTTTTTAATGTTTTTTTCGGATTCGTTTCTTTATTTAAGTTTTTTTTAAACAGATATTTGTTTTTAGGTTTCTAGCAGCGGACAATGAATGACGAAGACATTTCGACACTCTTATGGCGGTTAGAAAATGGAGAGGTATCAGAAGATGAAAGTGATCTAGACGAGGATGCCTTAGACTATTATGATAATGTCGGTGAGTTGCAAGCAGATCTTGAAAGAGAGAACCAAATACTAGAAGAAATATTGACCGAAAATGATGGGACAGCCCCTGATCCTCCACTAATATTTGATGAACTAGTAGAAAACCAGCCCCATTCCAACGCCACTCCTAGTTTACGGGATTTGATATGGAAAAAGAAGAATTTGGATTTGGTGGATCAGGCTTTTACATTTCTTGGATGTACTGACTACCCTCCGATTATTATGAATTTATCTACCCCTTATCAGTATTTTTCATACTTTTTTGATGAAAGTTTACTCGCAAGAATCGTTACTGAATCTAATAAATATGCCATACAAAAAAATATTAATTTTTCTGAACCAATGACAGTTCTGGAACTGAGAAAATATATTGGTATCTTGATTTATACTTCGGTATATCACTATCCTAGTATAAGATCCTACTGGGCAAATAATGTAAGATTCCATCCAATAGCTGATACGATGACCGTTAACCGTTTGTTAATAATGAAGGTCACTTACCCCGTGAACATCCTGAACATGACAGATTACACAAAATACGAACAATAGTGGACCACCTAAATCAACGATTCATGTCAGTTCCTTTTGATCATAGACTTTCATTAGATGAGCAGATGTGCGCAACTAAAATTTCGCACTTTATGAAGCAGTACTTGCCCAACAAGCCTCATAAATGGGGCTTCAAATTGTACGTGCTCTGTTGTCTGATGGGTTACGCATATTCATTTGAAATTTACTCAGGAACTCATGACTACAAAAGACTACCAAATGAGCCAAATCTTGGAGCAGTTTCAAATACAGTGGTGCGTTTGCTTCGACCTGTACCGAGAAAAGTAAATCATATAGTGTACTTTGACAACTTTTATTCAAGCCTGACTCTGTTTCATCATTTGCACAAGGAAGGCATATATTGCTTAGGTACAGTTCAAAGAAACAGATTAGGAAAAACCTGTAAGCTACCAAAAAAGGAAGATGTACAGAAAACATCTGTACCAAGGGGTTCGTACGACGAGAATGTTGCTTCTCTTGATGGTGTTGAGTTTGCAGCGACTAGCTGAAAGGATAACAAACAGGTCTTGCTGTTATCTACGTATGTAGGTGCAAATCCTGTGGGTACTATTAGCCGCTATGACAAGAAGCAGAAAAAAAACATATCAATACCATGTCCGAAAGTAATTGAAGAATATAATGCACATATGGGGGGTGTGGACACAATGGATAGTTATTTAGGGCGATATAGGATCCGAATGAAGTCCAAGAAGTGGACCAATAGACTATTCCAACATATGCTGGACATGGCGGTAATAAACAGCTGGATTTTATACAAGAAAGTTTCACTGAAAAAGAAAACAAATCCAAAAAACATTTTAAAACTTGTTGATTTTCGGACGGAGCTAGCTGAAACTTTGTGCAAGTATGGGGCCGTATCTGAAAATAAAAGAGGCAGACCCAGCATGAATAGACAGGAAAATACGTCAAAAAAGAGACCAAAGATTGGTGCACAGACATTACCACCAAACGACGTCCGTACTGATGGAGTTGGACATGACAAAAGCTACAACACTAAGAGAAATCAGTGCAAATATGCAAATTGCAAAAAACTAACTTCTGTAATGTGTACTAAGTGCAAAATATCGCTTTGTGACAATAGAAAAAATAATTGCTTTCAAGTTTTTCATGCTATGTAAAAATAAAATAACATTAAGTATAAAAACTTGGGTACTTTATGTTTTCTAGTATCACTAAGCAAAAAACTTCTTAATGCATAGTTTATCAAAATTGATAACAACTTTTTTTTGCCAATAAAACTTTTAATATACAGATATAATTTTTTTTATTATTTTTCCTATGATCAGGAGGTCACGCTTTAACACATATATTTTATTCTTTCAAAAATAAAAATTCATGCATCTAAGGGTTAACATTTTTCACCAGAGGTGGCAACACCGCACAAGAAAAGAAGATTAACGTTTTTGTTGTCTGTACTTTATTGCGGTGGATGACGCCACGCAGCTGTTATTGTGACAAGGTTCCATCGCAATATCAACGTGCGAGGCTTATATTATACGCTGAGATCGTTTAAACTATGCAACGATTTTTGATGCGGTTTTCATCAATAGACAGAATGATTCAAGAGGAAAGTTTATATGTATTATGATGGGGCAGCATCTGCGTCTATCGCCACAAAGCGCCACTATACACGCAGATGTGACCGGTTATTATCGGCTATCGTCGCGAACATTCGGGCTACGTGTGCGTATGTTATCGCGCGGGTGGCGGTACATCAAAGGGTTTTAACGCGCCTACATATCGCGCTGCCTGGCCTGACTAGCGTTGTTCATTTCGGCCGTTGTTTTCGATCAGTTCAGACGCATTCAGGTGGCTGTGTAAAAATGGAGTGAAGTGATGAAATGGTACTGGAATTCCTCTTTATAGATTTTAGGTTTCTTTTTAAATTTTAATAAATGCATTATGTAATTATTAGCACACATATAGAAGTAAAGAAATTCGTTATCCATAGTTAAACATTTGAAAATGATTTCGGTCATCTTGGATTATTGAACGATGGGTCATGCAAAATATCGAAGCCACTAATATGACCACAGCTTTTATCGCGATAAATTTTTAGAGTCAAAACGTACGAAACTTCGGCACGCAATACTTCGGGACGATTACTTATTGTCGAGATCCAAAAATCACCTGTGCGAAGGCGGTGCAAATCGCTAGTTACTTTTGTACTTTAAAAATGTAATATTAACCGACTTCAAAGATTAAAAAAGTGATTTCCACAAGCTTCTAAAGTCATTACTTGGACATATGGCCATCACAGTCGCTTTGACTTAAAGTGATGGAGACAGCACAAGAAATAACAACATTAAATAAAAATTGAGCAGGGGTTTGAGTACTTGGGCAATAGTGTGTCATGGAATTAAGCACCACCATTTTGGTTTACGAGATAGAGCCATACTACTGCTATATTATTAGTATAGTTGTAGCACGAATGGGTCGGCTCAACCAGGGAAGGACCACACTCGTAAAATAGCAGCCTAATGCTGTTGTGTTTCATATAGTGAGTGTAGAGAACCAAAGACCCTTTTTATTGGAAACGAAGCATTCCATCTCAGTCCTTAGGGCTGGCAACGCATGTGCATTTTGATTTTTAGTTAAAGATAAATGTAGATGTCTATAGGCCACAGAATCCACTTACCATCAGGTGGAATGTGTGCTTGTTTGTGACCCTTATTCCATTAAAAAAAAATGAGAACCGGAGACCCTTTTTACTGGAAACGAGGCATTCCATATTAGCCCTCATGTGTGACAACACATTTGCATTTTGATATGTAATAGAGTATAGATGTAGATGTCTATGGACCACAGCAATCACTTACTGTCAGGTATACTGTGTGCTTGTATGACACGCTACACCTATTCAAAAAAAACAACTTCAGTAGCTATTATATGGAAATTATTATTTTCTTTAGTTTTTGAAGTCTGTTTTTACTTTTATCAAAATTAGACTTGCGGTATTTGTGTTTTACCCTAGTTACCATTTGTGCATACATCTTAGATACATTAAACAATGTTTACAAGCTAGATTAGTGACCACATATCTCGTCAGGTATATCGCGGCATAAAAAACGGTGTGCAACTTACAGTGCATGTCTCGTTCGTGCTCATACTCAATGAACGCGTAACCGCGAGGTTTATCGTTCTCTTTGTTGTATACCATGCATATCTGGAAAAGTTACATTAGAACCCTGTTAGCCCAATCACGAAAAACATTACAATGATTTTTAACATGGTAGTCACGCTGCAGTTTTATTATCTTTTACTGCTTTCACAGTATACCAGCGTAAAAAAGCAGCTTAGTGTTTCTGTTTTGTATTATGAGTGTAGAAATGCAGACTCTTTTTACTGGAAACGAGGCATTCCATATTCTCAGGGGTGACAAAGCATTTGTCTTTTATTTTTTAAGGATAAATGTCAATGTCTATAGGCCACAGCATTCACTTACAATCAGGTGGACTGTGCCTGCTCGTGACTGCTCGTTTGTCACCCTTACTCTATAATAAAAAAAGGAAAAAATGATCTATACAAAAAGGTGACAAGGGTAACAAAGCTAAAAATATACTTCATTACGAATATCAGTCACAGCAGCCAGTCTCAACTGAACTAGCCACCTGCAGCCTGCACAGCATAGGATTATAGTATGAGAGCCGGTCTGCTACTGAGAATGTTTTGTACAGAGAAACCCAATTTCACCCGACCCAGGATTCGAACTCCCGGATCACTTGATCAACGAGGCAGTTGTGGCATGTGTATATAATAATATACATCTATAAAACTATATACATATAAACAGGTGCTATTAACCTAATATATCCATATTAAGTATAATATATCCATATCAGTATAGTAGCGGTGTAAGATTATCCAATACCCCTATTATCCCATAGGTGATGTAAGAGGAGACAGAGGGAAATAAATCAGATGGACAGCTGTATTTTTCTAATAACAAAAAAAAACCGGCCAAGAGCGTGTCGGGCCACGCTCAGTGTAGGGTTCCGTAGTTTCCCGTCCGTCACAATAAGTGTTCCCACTTATGAGTTTAAAGGTGGGTATCCATTATGTTCGCGCTCCAGCAGCGCTCCGCGCTCCTGCAAATGCTCCCGGTAGTGGGTACTGTTGTTTCCATCCAAGTTCAAAATGATTTTCCTAGAAAGTCCTTATAAAGTTCTACTTTTCAGATTTTTTTCATATTTTTTAAGCTTATGGTTCAAAAGTTAGAGGGGGGGACACATTGTTTTTTAATTTTGGAGCGATTATTTCCGAAATTATTGAAACTATCTAAAAATGATTTTAGTAAACCGCTATTCATTCTTAAATACCTTTCCAACAATATACACTCACCGGCACGGAAACTTGGCCACTCGTGAATTTGCTGATTATTTGCAGCGGTCAGGTAGCGGTTTCTCAAAATCTCCATAACAATAAAACGATCGTCCCGGGCCGATGTGCACCTTACGCCCCCACTGCCTGGCCTGCGGGTGTAGCGGCATGTCTCCTGGTATCGTTTCAGTGAATACTGCATTGAGGACCGTGGTACGTTAAGCACAATAGCAACTTCACGCTGTGTCAGCCCTTGGTCAATTAATGCTACTGCTTGTGCAACTTGTGCTGGTGTTAATGGCATTTTTATTGGCTTTAAAGCACCTTTAGTTATTTAATTAAGACACAAGATCACAATAATTGAATAACCCTACAGTAAACTTTTCACAACACACAAATTTAAAATGTGAACTTAGTCGCTCAAATGAAAATGATTCAACTAAAAATTAAAGAATTCGTCATGGTGCACTTAAACATAATGAATTACCCTCTTGAACTTGAGGGTAAACATTTTTTGACATACTTGCATAACAAACATTCATCAGAAACACTTAAAGCTTTTGCTATCGCGAGATAACCGCTTGGCCAAGTTTCCGTGCCGGTGAGTGTATAACACGTTAGGGTGGAAATTAAAAAAAATCATTTCCCACTTTACATATAGGGGGGCTACCCTAATAAAACATTTTTTTCCAATTTTTATTCTTAATTTCTAATTTTTATTTTTATTCCGCTTTGTCGGCGTGATTGATACATATATTAGTACCAAATTTCAGCTTTCTAGTGCTAACGGTCACAGAGATTAAGCGAGGACGGACAGATGGACAAACAGACATGGCGAAACTATAAGGGTTCCTAGTTGACTACGGAACCCTAAAAAGACAAAAACTGGTTGCCAACGCCCTGCTTCTGCCTAACATGGTAAATGCCTCCATTATGAATCATCTACGGGGAGGCCCATGTCTGCAAGAGATTCTTATTTACTATACTGGGTGACTGTTTTACTGTCTGGAAATTAATATGGAGTTTTGTGTAAGTGGAACAGAAGCTATCCTCGAAAGTATTTGTAAACTATAAGAAAATATAACTGACAGGCAAAATAGAAAAAATATATCCAAAAAAATACATAAAACCAATTTGGCATTTGCGTAAAAACTAAAAATCGGTGATATTATTTTAAACGGCCCGGCGTAAGCTACAATCACTAGTGAATAAGTTGTAAGCGCGAGCGAGACGCATGCATAATTTTTTCGCTAGGCATATGCCTACCGATGCCTACGATGAATATCGCTGTTATGTAGGCACCAGGCCGCCACGTGGAAGCAGGCGTTGTTGTTGCGGTACTAAAGACAACCTGCTGCATTTGTTCGTTTTTTAATGCATGGCACTTAAAATTCAGCATTATCAGCCGCATTGTAGAATTCAATATATATAGTGTATGTATACATATATATCATGCAACACATACATAAAATAAACACATATATTAACTGTTAATATAGAATTTCACTTACTTTTTTTATTGGTCCATAACCTTCAAACTCTCTCCGTAACTTCGATTCGGATGTGTCATAATTCTGTAGATATGTGGAGATATAAATCAATTATATAGAAATACCCATAGCCATTGTAGCTCAAGGGTTGAATCAGAAACTTTTTTATTCAATATAGATTATAAATACTTATTAAAAGTCACTTTTTTTTATTAACCACTGGCTCGCAAAAAACCTCTGTCGTGGCAAGAACCAGCAAGAAACCCAGCGGTACAATTTTTTTTAAATAATGGCTTACCTGATCAAAATGCAATAGGACCCATTTAACTACAAAGCAGCAGTGCACTGCTGTATTGCAGTCTGGAATGTGTAAGCCAGTATAATTCCAGGCTGTGAGGTGTTCCATCTAAATCCTCAGGAGTGACAACATGTCTGTAACCTTATTTGTTTGAAGCCGCACCATGGGCTACTGTACATGTATAAACTGAAGATATAAACAGAAATATAAACTTTTTTATTCAATATGGATTTTAAATGATACTTATTGAAAGTCACATTTTTTCATTTACCACTGGTTCGCAAAAAGAAAACCTTTGTCTTGAGAAGAACCAGCAAGAAACCCAGTAGTACTATTTTATTAATAACAGCTTACAATCAATCAATCATGTATGTTACAATTAACAACAAAAAACAAATTAGAAATAGCTTGGTAGCGATCACCAGGGGTTATTGTCATCCATAAATTACTTAATATTATAATAACCCTTTTTATAGAAACTTAGTTAAATAAAGTTTTTGAACTTTGTGTATGTCAAATACTGTATATTTTACATACACAAAGTTCAAAAATTTTATATCTGGGATTTTGTTGCAAACTACAATGCATGTTGCATGTTGTTATGTCACACAATCTTCTTCCTTGCTAATGCTCCAATGGCTGCCATACAGAGTTCACTCTATGTTCTTTATTTATTCTCAATCATTTTATAAAAAAAAATTGTGTTGTTAAGTCCACCTAACAAACTACAATGCATGTTGCATGTTGTTATGTCACACAATCTTCTTCCTTGCTAATGCTCCAATGGTTGCCATACAGAGTTCACTCTATGTTCTTTATTTATTCTCAATCATTTTATAAAAAAAATTTGTGTTGTTAAGTCCACCTAACAAACTATAATGCATGTTGCATGTTGTTATGTCACACAATCTTCTTCCTTGCTAATGCTCCAATGGTTGCCATACAGAGTTCACTCTATGTTCTTTATTTATTCTCAATCATTTTAATTTACGAAAATTCAGTGAAAATAATCATTATAGAGAAGAATAACTTAATATTAATTTAATGATTTCTTATATTGACGCGAACACTACACATTGATTAAAACTACTTTTACGGATTTCATTCTCTTTAATTTTAAATTGTTTTTAATTCCCAACGTTTTGGGTGTTTTCTAGCACCCATGGTCACGGGGGACTGAGGTGACTGACTTTCCGATGTTAATGTTAACCCAGAGTACCTTACAGTTTGGGATCATATCCTAGGTGGCCCCAACATTACATCAGATTTGATAGACCAAAAATCCTCACGAAAGAACATCAATTCCTACCAAGGATGATACGTGAGGCTATTGAAATTAAAAAACATCCTAACTTCAATATAGAAGGAGGCAGGGTATAATAAAATTAAAACTAAACCCAAGCATACCACTGCAAGACCAAGACACAGTAAGTTCATTCCGCGTAGATTGGACCATAAATAATAATTAAAAAGCTGAAGGTACTCTGAGTTAACATTGAATGCTGTCAGTCACCTCAGACCCCCTTGACCATGGGTGCTGGAAAGCACTCGAAACAACGGGAATTAAAAATCATTTTAATTTAACATGATAAAATCCATAAAAGTAGCTTTAATCAATTATTATTTATTTATTGCAATGCAAATATTGTTCGTTAATCAACTAATATTCATTTATTAATGAAAAATATTTGCAAATAACTATTTTGAACTGGTGAACTTTAAAATGCTGGTAGAGTAACAGCATTACAAGCTGGAGTAGGGTTTGAGCCCTTTCAGTACTCCACTATATAATTTGTTTTTAAATGGCAATTATTAGTTGAAAATTTAAAATAACATTCTAGTTTCATATAGAGTTAGGGTATGTTCCAAAATACAACGCAGTACACTGGCTAATGCAAATGACGTCATTAATTGACGGCGTATTCCACCATATTCGATACAACGAATCACCAATATGGTGTCGATTTATGACGTAATTTGCAATGGCCAGTGTACTAGGTTTAGGGTTTGTTCCCGGGAATTCTCGTCCCGGGAATTCCCGGGAAATCGGTCGGTCTCGTACCCGGGAAATTCAGCTCGAGAAAAGTCGAGTCATCGAGAAGTTTAAATAAACATTTTTACGCTTAGCTTTCTTTGTAAATGCGAGGCGGCAGCGGCATCCTTTGACAGCACGGCTCGTGTCTGTCGGTATCCTTTGTTTTTGCCGACAAACGCAAGCGCGACGCGGCCCCAGTTGTATTTTGTGCATTCGTGTTTCAACTCCCGCCGTGTTCGGATCGGTCGGATCATAAACCCAGCATAGTGAGTGTATTTACTATTTAGTGACTCACGAGTAATAGAATCGCAGAACAAACAGGTAAGTATTGTTATTATTTATTTAAATAGTTCAAGTGTTTGTTTTGTTTTGTAAGTACTTTTGTATTACCAAAATAATATTTTTGTTTAAAATGAATAGGTATGTTAAAGAAATAAAACTTTTGTTTTTAATCAAATAAGAGAATTGTTAGTGCATAAATATTTACCGATTTCATTAATTGCATTTGTATTGCAGATGTTGTAATAATCCCACAAAAGCCTAAAGTTCTAAACTAAACACATAATATTAAGAGTAAGACGTTGTTTTATGGCAATTTATCTACTACAAATAACACAAAACGTATCCAACCAATCCTACCAAACGTAGTATACAAAAGGACACAGCTATTTTTTCATCATCATCATCAGCCTAACCTAACCACATCAACCCCCTGCTGGGCATAGGCCTCCCCACTGTTGCGTAAAGGATCAAACACAAGCGGACTAGTGAGGCATTTAGCTCATGTACACAAAATTGATGTAAGATCCACCGAGGTTCAAATGGACACAGAAGAAGCATCTACCAGTTCGTCTAGTTCCGGGGTGACGGCACCAAAAAAATTAAGAAGTGATTTTGAAACTATGCACGTACAGCAAACACTGAAATTTGACGTTCAACCCAGAAAATCGTTAGGTGAAATTTTAGCTAAACTTTCAGCCCAAGATGGTTTTACTATAAGAGGCATTACTAAAAGTGAATTTATCCGTGAATCACTTGCTGCCAAGGGGTATAAACTTCCAAAGACCCAAACCGAAGTTATGAACCTAATATTGAAGTTTTATGATGAAAAGGAGAAAGAGATGATAAAAGAGCTTTCTCAGCTTTGCACATCAGGAAACCGGCTAAGTGTGACAATTGACGAGTGGACGAGCATACGAAACAGACGATATTTTAGCGTCTGTGTTCATACAGCAGAGGCAAAAGTTTACAATTTGGGGCTAGTTTACATACCCGGAAAATGCGGTGCCGCAGAGGTTAGAGAAATAGTAGAGGAGCGTTTGAAATACTTTGGGGTAAACTTCGAGCATTATGTCTCGGCTGTAACAAGCGACGGGCCAAATGTTATGAAAAAATTTGGCAGAGAGAGCTCCCCTGTGAGATGGTCCTCTGTGTAAACCATGCCATCCATTTGGCTATTCTTGATACCTTTTGCAAAAAAAAACAGTAACTACAGTTGCTAGAAGAAACACACCTGTTAGCGACGATGAACACAGCAGCTCTGATGAAGCCAGCACTGATAACGATGACGAAGAATCTGATGATGAATCTATATTGCAGCCTATTGACGACATAAACAAAGTGCTAAATGAGACCCGTTCGATCATAAGATTTTTCAGAAAAAGTCCCCTTAGAAATATCACACTACAAAAACATGTGAAGACTGAATTCGGGGCCGAACTAGTCTTATTACAGGATGTCAGAACTAGGTGGAATTCAATGCTAACAATGATTGAGCGTTTCTTGAAGTTAAAAAATTCCATTAAAAAAGCCTTGATTGATTTAGACAGCTCATTTAAATGGAAGGAGGAAAATATTCCTATACTACAAAAATTGCGGTTGATATTGACGCCAACTAAACTTGCAGTTGAAGCATTGAGCAGACAAGATGCCAATTTACTAACTGCAGAGGCTATAACAGATGTGTTGCTAAAACAATTAGAAAGTATCGACGACCCTTTGGCTCTTCAGTTAGTAGAATCTCTTAAAATGAAAATATCAGATCGTCGGAATACACCTCTAATATCGCTGCTACGCTACTTAAACAGCCCCGATAATTTTATTCTCAAAAAGAGTGCTTATTTTATCGATAATAGCAAGACATTTTTAATTGGATACGCTCTGAAGACTTATTCAATCGTCTATACCCCACTGTTCCCACTACTACAGAACCTTCGACAGGAAATAATTCAGAAGTTGTCGAAGCAGGCGTAAGCGAATCAGAAACTGAACAAGACAGCTTTGCAGCTCAATTAGAGAGAGCAATAAAAGGTGTTTCGAGAAATGGTGAATCAACTAATGCTGTGGTGCTTTCCAAATCAATTATAAAAAAAGAGTTTTTGCTATTTGAAAAAACAGGCAAGAGGACCCCTAATCTGGAAACACTATACAAAGCATTAATTTCAGTCAAGCCGACTTCAACAGAAAATGAAAGGGTATTTTCCATATCGGGAAATGTGGTCAGTAAGATTTGGAGCCGGCTGTCTGATAAATCTATTAATGCTTTGGTTTATCTTAAGGCATATTTCATAAGAATTAATAAGCAGGCTTAAAGACAGTTATATTTTTCGTATTAATAGTAGATAGATATCTCTTATTTAATTACATTAAAACTGCCAAAAATTGTGATACCATACCACCCACATAGTGAGATTAGTGAGTGATCTTTAGTTATGATGAGAAAAATTATGATTGTTTTTAGTTAAGATGTTTGTTTTAAGCTGATTGTTAACAGAGATTTTGTTTTTTATTAAAGATTAGTGAGATTAGTTATAATAAGAAGAAGTATGATTGTTTTTAGTTAAGATGTTTGTTTTAAGCTGATTGTTAACAGAGATTTTGTTTTTTATTACAGATTAGTGAGATGAGATTAGTTATGATAAGGAGAAGAAGTATGATTGTTTTTAGTTAGCAATTTTGTTTTGAGCTGATTTTTTATTGAGAACTTGTTTTTTTTGTTAAAAATTATGTTGATTTTTTTCATGTAAAATAAACACAGTTAAATTAAAGACTCTTTTTATTAATTAAACAAAAATTTAGACGTATTTTATTTTTTCTCGACAACCCGAGAAGACCCGAGAAATCAGGCTCGAGAAGTCTCGACACCCGAGAACTAAAAAACCTCGAGAAATCGGAAACCCTAACTAGGTTCTATTTTCGGAACACACCCTTAGTAAGGTTACTGGTTGCCTTTATGTGTTCTACTCCTGGGATAGAGCTCTCATTTCTAAAAGGGTTTTAGAGCAAGGAAGTTTCCACTGTCTATACATATTAAAATCAAATTATTAAATTAAATTTCAGGTTTTTTTAGATAATCTATAAGAGAGGCCCACTGAGAATTTATCTGAAGACATGAAGATGAATTTTCTTATACCTCTAACACACTTTTCCACAGAATATGTATAATAAATTAGATAACTTACAATTCGTGCTACAAACAATGTCTTGAATGGGTCAGTGGTAGACACAGGATTTGAAGCTGGATCCCACAGGGCAATCTCCTGTTCCAGTCGGTAAGCTGTCTGCTCAGCCCTTTCGCGTCTACGCCGTTCCAATCGCTCCTCACGTGTCTCCACCCGCGTCGGAGGTGGAGTCTCCGAAGGATGCTGTTCATAATATATATCTGAATTTTAGGAATATTAGTAAAATAAAAAGGTATAATTTTTGGGCATCGCAGGCCTATAGCATGTTAGTAATACAAATAAACTTAAAAAACTATGTTTGTTAGTAAATGTGTGTTAGTAAATGCAAATGTAACAATAAAACAAGACAAAAATTTAAAAAAAATTAAGAAAAGGAAAATATTGCATTCAACACGACGACACATTATTGATATTTGATGATGTATAATCCTTTGGCAGGAATTTGGGGGAGTAAGGTGTTTTATTTGGTAGAGGTTTGGTCCCCGATTATAATACAACTCACACTAAAAGGTAATGCACCGTTATCGAAAAATAAACAAAAACTATTATAACCTTAAATACTTAAAGTATGAAAAGTGATACATTTTTTATTATTAATTAATTAACTGAATTTACAGCTCTGGGTTCTAGACTTTCTGAGAAAAAACTTATACAATGTTACTGTGAAAGCTGGATAGCATACAGAGTAATTGTGTCTGTGGCAGGAACAAAGGCAACCTGACTATTGATATCTGATCTGATCAAATCTGTACTAAAATTAAATCAGCACGCCCCGAATTCACGTAGTCTTGTCTGCCCCACTCCTAAAGTGTTTTTGTAAAGCCGTAGGTGCAGAGGGAGAGCAGCTCCCGCCCGTTGTAGCAAATCGCAGGCACCTGTGCGAGCCGTAGTGTGGTTATTATTGTATTATAATATATAATACAATAATATATTAATTATATATATATATATATATATATTATAATATATATATATATATATGACGATGAAGAATGAAGACCCCGCCATTCCCTTTGTAGTTATTGTTTGTAAACCACTCAGAAGTAGGAGTCCCCGCGAGCGGGGCTCCGTCGACCGGCCTTCCCTCGACTGTGCTACGTGGTGCTTCCGTCCTCCAACTCTCTACCCCCATAAATAAGGATTATAGTCAAAAACATAACCTCAAAATTAGATTTTTAAAAATTTATAAAAAAAATAAGCATGTCCGGCAGGATGTGGAAGTGGAGGGCGACTCTACAACTCCCCCGCCTACCTCTACACCACCTCCCATCTAGGCATGTCGATTCACTCTTAAAAAAATCGATCTCTGAATCGAAGATACTAGAATCGATTATCGATTAAATCGAGGATTAAAAGATCGATTTTCGATTAATCGCGACATATTCAAACATGAAATTTCACGAATTTGCGATTTTTTCTTTAATTGAACTTTAATATTTTTTGAAATTAAAATATTAGTAATCATATTAATTAAAATTACTAATATTCCTTTTAACCTCCTGGTAAGCTTGAAACGCTTGTTTTAGGGGTGGTTCGCAACTCGATTCCTTTTTTACAAAGTGATTCCATGTATCACTTTTATTTGACATTTTAGGCCAAAAACAACAACAATACTTTAACAAAAGGGCAAATTGCAACATACATTTCTCGATCGATCTGTTTCAACTCGCTATTTATCAAATTGAAATGAATGCTACACGAACACAATACTGGTTATTTCCTTACTATAAACCTCTATAAACTTCAAAACATATAATATTTATTTACTGCATCTAGATATATAGAAAGTACTCTGTCTGTACTTACAGCTTACAGTATGTATGTTTTTGATAATAAAGTAAATTCGCAAGTTCACAGTTCAAACAGGTTCACAGCCATAATATTAAATTGTAGTATGTATTAGGGATGTTGCGAATATCCGCATCCGCAAATGCGGAGCTTCCGCATAGATTTTGACTTCTGCATCCGCATCCGCATCCACAATAATCAATGTGGATTTTCATGCGGATGCGAATGTAATACAAGTTGTGACAAGAAAGAATTGGGCTACTCTCGCAAGGGCCGAACCACCTCGTCTTTAAAAAATCATCTAAAATCGATGCACCCAGAAGAATTTTCCATATTTGAGAGCATAAAGAAAAACAATTACAGAAGATAAAATCTGACGCAGGTAAGTTTCATCATATACAATTTTAATTAATTAGTTTTTTCTTGAGGCATTGTTTACATAGTTTAATAGTTCAGTTAGGGTGTGGTTTAGGCGATGTTTCCACTCAATATTATTGTTTGCTGCTGCCACATAACTCGGTCACTTGTAAAAAATTTAAACAATTATCTACTTAAAAGTCTTACAGAAATTTTATTAAGATCGGTTCAATTTTTTTTATATGCCATTGTAAACGAATTTGCATATTTCGCTTTTTTAGCAAATAATTAGCCTAGAAATTAATCATAATATCATTATTTAAATACGTAGTGATGTCTTTTTTTAGCATTTCATTAGTCTTAGCTGTCTTGATACTTTATCCTTCCCATTTTACGAAAAAATTAAATGTAAACAAACAAAGCTGGCTGGTATAATCCGTCCAAACTAAGAAAAACTTGTTTCAATCTAAAATAGTCTCTAATGAAGTACTCTTTAAATTAACCGCGTATAAAGTGTTTATAGGCGGTGTAAAAGCGGCCTCAAAAGAACTCTTTTTACAATTTGTTTACATTTAGATTTAGATTCGTCAAGTGAAGATGAGAGACAAGAAGTACCAGAAAATGGTAGAAGCTGTACTCAAAAAGGAATTACTTTCTTACCGTGCTAAAAAAGAGTCAATGTGGATGAAAATCCTCTTAAGTGGTGGAGTGTTCATCGAGAGGAATTTAAAATATCATCACCTGCAGTATACTACACTGGCAGTGTTCCTAGCGAACAATTATTTAGTAGCGCGGGTTTAATTTACGAACCTCTGCGTAACCGCCTTGAATCAGAAAAGGCGGCAATATAACTCTTTATTAAGTATAATTCTCCTATTTTTAACTTCACTTACTTAAAAAAATATAGGAGCATTATATACTAAATACTGATTTTCATTACTAAAAATTTTGATATTTACTTTATCATTAGCTTCACTAACTAATATGAAAATTAGTAAGTGAAATACTTAAATAAAAATTGGAAAATTATACTTAATACTAATTTTCATTAATAAAAATGTTAACAATTACTTTATCATTGTTTTTTTTTTCTTCATTCATATACTATATTTATATAAGATCTTAAACATCCGCATCCGCGGATGTGAAACTACAGAAATCCGCATCCGCATTCACATCCGCGGATGTGAAAAAATCGGCATCCGCAACATCCCTGGTATGTATATGTAGTTTTTTTCACAGCACAGATTATGTTAGACCAACATTCCACAGGTAAGAATAGAATTAGAAATTTAAAAATGAAAATGAAATGACAACTTTTCGATATGTTGGATGCGTTCATAAATATTTATTTTATTCAAATATACAATATGTAACGTAATTAACGCACACCCTCAGACACCCCAATTAGTATATTATGTTATAACCATAATACATACACTGAATTATATTTAAACATTTTTATGCACTGATTATTTATCAAATTAGTTATACTAATTCCAGAAGAATGTTGTGGTCACAGTACAAATCCACGAACGCAAAGACTTTAACGTGCTTGAAATAAAGTTCATTTTACTTTATTTTTATTGAATGACAGAATTAGTAATAACACAAATAAAACTGCCCTCTTTAAAGTCTTATTGCCTTAAGTTACGGTCCATTTCAGTTTGTTTTGACTGTACAGATTTAGTGTGACTGTAATTTATGTAGTTTTAATTATTTTTGGGATAAAAAATTACCTATATTAAAAATGATAGGAATCGATTCAGTAAACAATTCTGAACAAACTACTTTTTCAAAGTGCGTTAATTATGTTATGTGTTGTACATTGCAAATTATCAACCAAGTAAGATAGGTTGTTTTTGTGTCCCCCAAGAGCAAAAAATTAAAAAACTGCAGTATCTTACCCCAGCCAGTTTGGGAATTTTATCACTGGTTCTAGAATCAGATGAATCGGTCCGATTCGAGAGGTTTTTGGATCGATTCGGAGAATCGATGCGGTGCTCCGAATCGATTTAAAAAATAGATTATTTGGTTAATATTTCCAATATGGACCATTGATTTCAAAGCCCATATTTTTTTTTTGTAGACAGTACTCACTAAAAGAAAGCGTTTTGCAAAGTTTTAGGCTGCGGAAACTTACGGTTCACGAGATATATTTTTTTAAACTTTTCATACAAATTGGCAAATAACACGCAATTACACCAATTACAAAATAAATTTGACAAATGATTGATGTCAAACGTCAATTAGTGTAGGGTTACGAATATTTTGAAAGTATCGATACGTACTCGATACCAAGTATCGTATCAAAAGTATCAATACTACTTGGTATCGAGTACATTTCGTTAATTTTGGAGACTAGGGGGGTAGAAGCCGGGAAGTTGTGCTCCGGCGCTCCGTGGCAGCTCCGGCGCTGCGGTATGAGCAGTGCCCGCCCGCCGTAGGGAAGCGCAGGCACCGAAATCGCCGTAGCGGCTGAGGCTACGGCGATTTCGGTGCCTTTCGGCGAAAAAAGCCGAAATGTACTCTCCCTCCGCGCCTCCGGGCTCTTATATACACTCTAGGGGTAGGGCAGACAAGACCACTTGGATAGTGGGGTGCTCTGATTCGGTTTTGGGTACTTTTTGGATATTAAATAAGTAAGTAATAAGTAAGTAAACACTTTATTGTAGTAAGAATTAGATAATACAGAAAGTTGCAAACAATAAAATAACAGTACAAAAGCTGTACTAATTAAGAAATACAAACAAGTTGCAAGCAATGAAATACAAGTACTAAGGTGGAACTTAAATAGAGTAAACTTTATTCTACTTTATATACATATATAATTGCACTTATCAGCTCTTCCTATGTATCTAATTGGTTTGTCATAATTTTTCATCTCCAAAATTAACAAAATGTACTCGATACCAAGTAGTATTGATACTTTTGATACGATACTTGGTACCGAGTAGGTATCGATACTTTCAAAATATTCGAAACCCTACACATACTGACGTTTGACATCAATCATTTGTCAAATTTATTTTGTAATTGCGTGTTATTTACCAATTTGTATGAAAAGTTTAAAAAAAATTGGTTGCCTGTAAAGTCGGTATACGGGCGAAAGTTTTACGTGACAACGACTTTGAGTGGTAAAATAATTTTAATGTGAATATTCATTCGTATAGTAGGAAGAAGGATGAAATAATAGTAACAATTTAAAACATTTATTTATACAAAGAATTATATTTAAAACATTAATTTATACAAAGAATCTCGCACTGAATTTCATATTAACAAAATTTTATTTTTACCTTTACACATACATACGTATTTATATACAAATATACATACAATAACTTGCAATACATTTGCGTACAATGAAACAGCGTTTACTACAACTTAACTTGTTCCTATCTGACTGATTTTGTTGAGGACAGGGCGATGATAGGAGAAATATGAAATGAAAGGAAGTGTTTCTGCTGTAATGTGCCTAGAAAATGTCAAGTCAATGGTTGTTCCTTTTAACGTAGTAGACTTAGACATATCTGATACGCAATCAAGATTAAACGTATCTTTAATGAATTTGAGAAACTTGTCATCAGACTTCACGTTTTGGTTGAAGTCACCGCATAGAAGAATCGGCATATTAGGATCAACTTGCAGGAACGGTGGCACGTACTGGCTGTTATGCACGTATGGAAGAAGTGCCTGGTGTAGCAACATTCCGATGTCTTGTACACTTAATCCTGGATGAATATAAACAGCACCGAGCACAAATTTGAAGGTAGTATCAGCGGTAAAGCAAGTAACTTCAGCCAAGCACAAGTCACCGCAGGTTTTGATAACTCGAGCAGTGTCTGTGACCGCAACATCGATCACTTTTCCTGTTGATATTGATGATAACCTACGATAGATCGCTACTCCACCTGCTGCGTTGGTGTCTGAGTTTGTTCGATTATTCTTCCTTGATATGCACTCATAATTCTTGATTGGATGTGGTTCACAAGTGTCGCGCATCCACGTTTCGGTCAGTACTAAATAGTCAGATCTTGGAATCACTGTATCTGTTTCAATGTCTGTGGCATGAGCACTCAAACTTTGACAATTGATGTTCGTCACGATAGTTTGTCCAGCACTGGTAGCATCGTCACAGAATTTGACTGCCTTTTTAGTGGTGGTTTGCAAAGTGTGTCCTTGGAGTCGAATATATTCAGTGCGAATATCTCGTGTAGTTTGTGAGTCGTTTCCTTCGCGCCCATGTTTGAAAATCAAAGGAGAGTCCTTCTCCGTGATGATATACAATCCGTTGATACTCGTTACGCGGCTCATGGCTACATATACTAATTGTTGTGGTTGCTTGGAGGAGTACTTATACACGATTACATCAAACGTCCCACCTTGTGATTTGTGAATCGTAATGGCACAAGCAGGTACGCAAGGAAATTGTTTGCGTTTGCATTTCACTGTTTTTGTCAATGTGATGTTGACCACTTTTTTGTACACCGGCACCCAATCAACGGACAAAGTGTTTGGTTTGCTGAGTACATGTGGTCGACTTTTGAGTTTTGCACTGGCACCCGTACTTTTGTCTGGAAACTCGAACCAAAGAGTGATAATTTCATCTTTTGTGGGCGGTGACGTCGTGCTGGTCGATGGTCCTGCTTCGGCTGGATCGGCTGGCTGACGTTCGATGTGTCGCAAGACTCCAATAGCGCCGTTTACCAATCCATCTCCTACGTTGATGTTAGACGTTATCATGTAAGGGTATCCCACTGCTAAGGGCAGCATGTAAGGCAATCCGTCTGTCTCTGCAACCGACATCTTGTGAAGTTTTCCTTGCTGTTGGCCCCTCTCAGAATTACTGGAATATCCGAGCATGATATCAGTGGCAATACAGTTGTGTGCGTTGTTAATTGCTTTTCGATTGTATGAATCAACCTCAAAGTTACTGTAAAACAACCGAACAGCGTCAGGTACGTTCTCTTTGCACCAGGACTCTGACTTATGTCTGGATTCTATAAGTTTGATGTTATTGACACTTAGTTTAAGTCCATCTCCAATTTTAGTCAGAATTCTCGAAAACAGCTCGTCAGTTTGTCGTACAACACGGACCAATGGGAAGTAGTCGATGCTTTGCCACAGTATAGGTCCTCCGAGTTGGTTGATTGGCACTGTGTAACACGGAGTAGCGCGTACAGGCGGCAGCTGTCTGAAATCGCCGCATAAGATGATGTGAAGGCCTCCGAAAACTTGGTCGTATATGCCGGTTATCTGTTGCAATCGATAATTGATTTTACCGAGGATAGCTGCACTTAACATGCTGATCTCGTCAATGAAAACTGCTCTCACGCCAACGAACATATTTCTATAGGCTTGCGAGTTTTCAGCTGATAGAAGTCTTGTAACTCGAGAAGTTGTTAGGCGAAATGCTGAGTGAACTGTTGTTCCACCAAGAGGTACAGCTGCTTTACCTGTGCTTGCACAAGCAACGTAGGCGTTGTTGAGTGAGTTGTGGTTCTGAGTGTAACGATTGTACGTTTCCATGAGGGCCTTCAATGTATACGTTTTGCCACATCCTGCTGGTCCGGTGAAGAAGATTTGTAGAGCCTGTAGGAGCTCATCTCCGCAGCCATGTAAACGATGTATAGCCTCAAGAACCACCTCACGTTGTTCAGCATTCGTAGTTCGTAGCAGCTCACAATATTGTTGTTTTGGCATCACGTTGCTCCGTTTTTTTACAAATGACAATCCGTTTTGCTGCACGATTTCATATATTAAATAACAAATTCGAGAATTCACAAAATTGGTTTATGTTAAATCAATCAGTTGTTATAAGTTATTAATAAATTTAACTTGTTTTACATTGTTATAAATATAAAAACTAAATTTAAAAGTTAGAACATTTATTTAAATCACATTAATTGTTAATATCAATCGATTTTAATTCAAAGTGTATTTTCTAAAAGGAGAAAACTAATTCACATTTGATCTTTGAATTTGTAAATCGCGCGCTTACGACCTTGCGCAGTGATTAGTCGTCTCGGTTTGAATGTTTGAAAGTTTCGATTTGACAGGTTGGAGGTTAAACATTGTTATTTCAATTTTTTACATAGCAAGTCGCGCTCATTTTTTCAAGTTAAACAAATTATTATTGGTTGAGAAACGATTTATACTACTTTTTTGATTGAAAACTACCACAACAATGTGATTACTACAACATAACCTATTCACTTATGTCTTAGTCATTTATTTCATCATGTTATATTATCAGTCTGAAATTATTTACCTTTGCTGTTTGAATTGTTGCGATGGACGAAACTACCTTCACATTATCACTACACAATCGTTTTACAATTAACTGGCAACGTGTAAACTTGTATGCAGGCGCCTAAGCGAAATAGAAGCGCAAGACATGAACCGGTGTGTATGCCTATCTCTCTCACTCTCTCTTCTCGCTCTTAGGCGGGCTAACTGTGCTCAAGTGGAAGGGACGTGTGCCTTTCACTTTTTATGTCTGTCTCTCTCGCTCTTAGGCGGGCTAACCATGCCCGAGTGGAAGGGACGCGTGCCTCTCACTCGCTCTCATTGTGAGCGCATAACGTGAGCGGAGCGTAACGCAGTTTCTTGAAGTGTCACCCGGCAAACCAATTTATAAGACGTTGTCACGTCAAAAATATCTCATGAACCGTAAGTTTCCGCAGCCTAAAACTTTGCAAAATGCTTTCGAATCGATTTTTCCATTAATCGATTTTAGATCGACATGCCTACTCCCATCCCCTTAATTCATTTAGAGTAATGATTTCGAGATTAGGGGCAAGGTTTACAATTCGGTCGCCTGAATTTGGGGGAGGGGGGGTGGCGTGGGGGGGGAGGAGTTGTAGTCACCCCCCTACTTCCACTTTCTGCCGGACGTGCTTAGTTTTTTTTTTAATTAATTTTTAAAAATCTCATTTTGAGGTTACGTTTCGTAATTTTTATGACAATTTTAACCTGATTTATGGGGAGAGAGAGTTGGGGGACGGAAGTCATACGCCACTTAACGTGGTGCAGTCGAGGGAAGTCCAGTCGACGGAGCCCCGCTTCGCGGGGCTCCTACTTCTGAATAGTTTACAAAAAAATAACTACGAAGAGGATGACGGGGTCTATTCGCTCGCTCACATGACCCCGTCATCCTCTTCTAACCTAACCTGTCAGAGTCGGGGTGCTCCACATCCCAGGCTCGCTTCGCTCGCTATTGCACTCGATATAACACCAAATTATTAACTTTTGTAACTACTTTAATTTATAAACATAATTTATCGCTGCCACCATTTGTAAGAAAAGATCTTTGCGATATTTAGCAGTATTCCGCCGCCACAAATATTTCACTATTCACCAAAATTCTGAAACTCGGAAGCAACGCCATGAGGAAAAGTAGTCAACAAAATGGCCGGCATTGCGATTTAATTTTACATATTTTTAAATCGATTCAAATCGAAATTAGATGAATCGATACACAAAAAATCGAAACCTTAAAGATCGATTTCGCAAAAATCAATCTTTTTTTTATTTGTGTTAAAAGTTTATATTTACGACATCAAAAGATACAATAAAGTACAGATAATATTGAATAATTAAATTAAAAACTGTCATTCTTTACGAGTTGGGCTACATTCAACCAATTGTAAATAATTTTACAAATCTGAATAAAACAGAAAAAGATTCGATCTCGATTCTCTAGGGTGAAATATCAATTCACTAGATCGATTCAGTACTATATATCGATATGACATTAACAGATGATACGTCAAAAACGTAAATTAGTCATTTACCAATATTTTTAAAAAATAATTAAAAATACTTCTACGCTGCTCCGGCAGAAAAAATCGAGTATGGGTGCTTCAGATAAACCCCCTTGACTCCCCCCACAGTGACAGAATCTTCAAATTCAGGCGACCGAATTGAAACCCAAACCAAGCGAAACCCAACCCGAGATTAGTTCTATGGGATTTTCTTTTTGGTTTTTCTCAAGAATGGTGCATTACCTTTTAATGGGAGTGGTATTATTATAATCGGGGACCAAACCTCTACCAAATAAAACACCTTACTCCCCTAAATTCCTACCAAACCATTTTAAATTTCAACCTTACACTTAATTAATTAAGATTATTTTTTATAATTAAGATTATGTAAAAGGATTATGATGACAATAAACAAATGAACCATTTTAAAATTACAGTTCGGATTTTAACTATATAATAGTTATAGTTAAAAAGCTTAACAGATGAATTTAGTAAATTATTAATTTCTATAATATGTATATATACATTGCCAGCAAGACACCGAAAAGATCATAACTAACCTCAAATAAATTGAGAAAAGCACCAACTCCATCGTAGCCTTTTTGTTTTTTCTCGTGCGGAAGCTTTGCTGCAGGCGGTAAATAAGGGATTGGGTCCCTTGCCGCAAACAAAGCCAGTAAATTCGGAGGTAAGAACTGCGTCATTTTGCACTAATCACCATGCCCTGGAATTCTTTCACTAGCCGCACATTTACTGTTTCATAATCACAACAAAGCACTATGTTTACAGATTGTTATTTTAATCATTAAATTCAATTTAAAACTTTATACCTATATTGGTAATAAATAGAAACGTATATAACAATCAATCGAACGAGAAGCGTTGTTCTCCGTCCGCCATTACATGTAGTCACAGAGTAGAGTACAACATGGAGGTTAGAGAGAAGGAGAACAATCGCTACGTGTTAAAGCATAGCCCGCCTGTCCCAGAGCTGCCGTCGGTAAGTAGTATCTGCGAAATTAGCTGTTTATGAGTACAAGTAGATGAAGTTAGTTGAATAATGTTCAGATTTTCTTCGCGGCATTGGTGTGAGAAAATAATAATCCTTCGTAATTTTTTTAATTTTGACGAAAAGAAACATTAAAAAATGGTAAAATATTGTATTGTACGTGGATGTGCAAGTGGTTTAGCGTATGATCAGAAAAATAGACTGAAAATGACTTTTGTTTAGATAACTTAGCAATCGCAGCGCCTCACTTATTTTGTCCATATTTCTGGGACACTATTTTCTACAGCGATCGTTCTCCTGTTCTCTAGCCTCCATGGAGTACAACATATTCACAGTTGGTAATGGGCTAGCGTAGCGATGGCGGTACGCATCTACACGTGGCCAATATATTTCACAGTATACTGTTTTTACTCGTATATCATAATGTTTACAATTTTAATTTATTGTAATAAAATAAACGGAATTAAAAAATGTTTTCCGCACCATACCGTATCAGGATTTTCTAAGCTAGTGTTTTATCATGATTTTATTTGTGGGTCTATTATTTTGTTCCATGGCTCGCAAAAAAAATTTAACATTAACATTGACTTTTCATAACGCTGGATCACTTACCCAACCATGACGATTTTATATCACTGTTTTCAATGTACAACATTGATATCATGGCCGTGAATGAGGCTTGGCTACCGTGGCGTGAGGAGAGCCGTGCGCCCGTGGTGCCTGGGTACCGGTTACATCACACGCCGAGCCCGTTAACTGTACGTGCAAGTCGTGGTGGGGGAGTTGGTTTTTACGTGCGAAGAGGACTAAATGCACGTTTTGACTGTGGATCTTAAACCTGAAAATATTGAACAAATGTGGCTAATACTTAACATCCGAGGGAAAAAAATTGCTATAGGCATAGCCTATCGGCCTCCATGGCCAGACCTAAATCAGTTCCTGGATGCCGTAGCCAGCTCAATAGGTGCCTTGAGGGATAATGACCACTGTATACTTATGGGTGACTTTAACGTCAATTTGCTAGATGCCTCTGAAGTTAAAACAAAAAAATTAAACGATTGTCTTTCATGTTTGTGACTAAATCAGCTGGTTACTTCTCCTATTAATTTTTACTAGCGTATCGAAAACATTGATAGATCTTGTTTGCTCCGAATTAAAATCGAAGCGTATGTCTGTATCTACGCCTGGTAATTTATATGGACATGCATCATTGTTTGTGAATTTCATATTATAAAGGACAAGCCTACGCCTCAATTGGTGCAATATAGACCGTTAGATAATATATGTTTAGATAAGTTTAATTTTGATATATCTAACTTGAGCTTCAAAAATTTGTTTTCATGTTCTATAAATGAAATAGTTGATATCTTTAACCGTAACATTTTATTCGTGTTCGATGCGCATGCACCCATTAGGAACAGTGTTTTAAAGGAGCCTTCTCCTCCGTGGTTTACAGATAATATTCGGTTTATGATGAAAATTCTTGATGATACCCTGGCTAAGTACCGTAAAAATAAGTCGGTATCCAGTAGAGTACTACAAGCAACTTAAATCCCTAGTGATAAAATCATTACATAATGAAAAAGCTGCATACTTTTGCCACAGCTTTAATAACAAAATTAATAATCCAAAATCTCTTTGGAAAATCTGAAAAGGACAGTATTACCTCCAAAGCAGGCCGTAGAATTACATTCTCACTTTAATGACGCAAATGAAATAAACAATTATTTTTTGAACGTACCAGGAAAACCACAAGCTTCACTGTCTCATCTAACCTACTTTGAATTTCACAGGTTCGGCGATGCAACATTCATTATATCATCAGTCAGTTAGAACGATATTTTACGCATAATTCTCAGTTTGAAATCAAATGCAATAAGAATTGACAATTTATCATTAAAAATGATAATCATGACATTACTTAACTCTTTAGAGATTATTTATACAATCATTAATAAGTCAATCTTAACATCTGCGTTCCCCGATCTTTGGAAAATAGCTATCGTTCGACCGCTCCCTAAGAACAATAACTCCTTTAGCTTAAAAGATATTCGCCCTATTAGCATTTTACCATGCCTATCAATAGTATTAGAGAAGATTGTCTGCCAGCAGCTTACGGAATATTTTGAGAAAAATAACATTCTTCCTCAATTGCAGTCTGGGTTTCGTAATGATTGATGTAGTGGATAATATCCTGTCAGACCAGTGAAGTACCGCCGCACCCTTGCAAGAACACCAATCAACTCAATGAACCGCCCAAAGTTGAGGTTTGGAGAAAATTCAACCCCGAAACAACTGAAGGTGGTCAGTGTACTCTAAGTATACATTCCGTAAAGTAGGAGCCAGGGTGAGCAGGCTCCTTTTAGCGGTGAAAAGACACGCTTGTGTTTTGGAGCCGAGGCTTTGCACCTTTTCTCCTTCCTACGTCACGGCGGACTTTCCGTAGTTACTAAGGGCTGTCAATATAGAGTAAAAACCTAACTTATCTAAGTAAGCTACTTAGGGAAGGTACCTATTCTGACTATGGTCGACTGACCATATTTTCTATACTATGTGAGTTCTATGCCACCCAATGTATGCAACTTGCAAGAAAATTCGTCGCGAATCATGATGTTTGGCTCAGAAAAATTAGGTAGTGTAAACAACAAATAAAACCGAAATAAGATTCCTTAATGAAATGTTTGTTGGAGTTTAAATTTTAGTATTTGTATTAATATAACTTAAAATATTTAACTAAAAAAGGAATAGTATAGGCATGTAAGAAGACAATTGGATAGTGAAGTGAATTGCAACAAAGTTTTGTAAAATATACTTAGGTTTAACTTCTTTGTTAAATTATTACTTAATTCTTTTTTCGCTATAAGTAGCAAAAAATATCACCTTTCACTATCCTTCGGTAACTTAAAAAATGATATTTTTTTTTTGCGCCCGAAGCAATTAAAGGGCTACCCTATACGTAGGGAGGCGGAAATGCATTACGCATACCACGATAGCCGGTCTATCGTGGTTATGAGGGGCTCACTGTCCTACCGGGGACCCTAAGTGATACCCTCTAAAAACCGCCTTTAGGGACAGGCAACCGGCTGATTAAGCTCTATTGTGCCTTATCATGAGCGACCCTCTTTTGGGAAAGGAGGGCGCAGGCGGCTAAGAGCCGCTGAGGGAGTGCCTACGAAGGCAAATTAGTGTTAGTTCAATAATTATTTAGTTTAATTAGAGTTGGCCTGAGCCGCCAGGAGGCAGTTCAGGTCGTTTGACAGTTTATTAGGCGGGTCCGAGAGAGAGTTTCTCGGCCTGCGGACACGATAGCGAGAGAGGGGTGGGGCTGCATAAGAAGCTGCCTCACGAATTAATCGGTTTGGGTGCGACTCCGAGGCTTTGAAGAAGTTCTCAGAGAGTTTTTTAAGGAATTGTTGAATTGTTGGGAGTTCTAAGTCCCGATGAAGGTCGGCATTGCGGACGTACCAAGGTGCGTTCGCAGCTCGACGGCAGAAGAGGTTCTGAACTATTTGGAGTTCATTTATTATGTTAGGGTTTGCGTGGGCAAAGACGGAGCCCGCGTAGGAGAAATGATATATCTGAATCCTTTTGTTTGCTCGTTAAGAATCCATCTACGCAACAATTAAAGTAGGTTCGACGTTTTGCCGCCATAGTTTTTCAAATTATATATAATATTATTTTCAAAAATTTTTAAACTATTTTATCCTACAATTAAATATACTAAGCACTAAACAAAATTATTTACAAGTATTTACGTAAAAAGCGTTAAAAAACATTAACATTCAATCACCTAGAACGCGCTAGCCCCGACTGCGTATGTAACCCGAGGCGCCTCGAGATTGTAGGTAATTATTTCACAGCAGGTAGCAAGAATGACAGAGGCCAGCCACCACTGACAGGTAGACATGAGTAAAAAATATTGAAATATCGATATTTTCTCACATAATAATTGATATTCGATATTTATTTTACAGTATCGAATTCATATCAATTTCGATATAATATGTTAAATTGTTATATTAATTTTATAATATAATAGAAAAAACATAAAGTAATAAACGCATTCACGTGCTGCTTTTTAATTCGTCGTCAAAACGTCCAGTAATAAAATTTTGGTACTCATTATTCTACTACTTCATCCAAAACATGACAATATATCGATATTTATCGGGCGATAACTATGGATAGTATTCGATACTGATTAAAAATATCAATATGATAAATATCGATATATTTTTTCACTTGCCCATCCCTAACATAAATCATAGAGCTAGTGCATAGCACATGAAACGTGGAGCAGATCTCAGTAGTAAATGAATATAGATCTAAGTAATGACTATTGAGGGCTTGGATTAATATATGAGTATGATAATTTATCCAAGAATGAGGGCATTCACGACATGTTTGCCACCAGGTCGACACCACTTAGGAATGAGGTGAAATGTTTGGCAGATTCACAAACTAATAAGAAGTACTACTAGCACACCAGATTTCATAGCGAGGGAAGTTAATTTGTTAGGAAAACTTAAGAATTAATGTTGCTTTCTGTATTAATAGTTATGTTTTTTGTTAATTAGATTAAAAATGAATAAGCCAAGCTATGGATATTTCTAAAAGTAGAAAAATTTAATTGATACTCACGAAACCGACAAACTTTCTTTTAAAACGTAACTTCTCAATTAAACGACATTGTGT